GAGTGCTTGGTCAAGACGAATCAGCTGTTATAGGGTACTAATCTACATTCTTTAAACTTCGAATGTAGTGCATGACGAAGGAAAGTGTTGCCTGTTTAGTGGTTATGTAATTGCCACAGGTTTCGATCGGATTTACACTGCTAAACGAGCATCAGTTTTCCTCGTCATGGATTACATTCGAAGTTTAAAGAACGCAGATTAGTACTCTCTGGCAGGTGGGAACCAGTAATTACAAGAACATTGTTAAAATCTCAATTGTTTGCAACGGTTGACACTCTATCTCGCGATGCGTACCCCGTTTAGTTCACTTTAAATAGCTCTTCCAACGTTCTATGGACAAGTTACGTCTTGATCAAGCATTCAGTTTGAAGCTGAAAGAACGTAGATTAATCTCCTGTCATTGAAAATAACAATAAACGACCAGAACACTGTTAAAATCGCATTTAATCGCGGAATACCACTATTTTTTTGACCGGTGGCGCCGCCCGCGGCGATTCGCTCAAACTTTTAGCCAAATAATACCGACAGGTGAGTGAAAATTTCTAGTGATGGAAAAATGCGAATTTCTCAGTAATTAGGCGTTGAAAATGAACGTTTTCCTCGTCATGCATTAGATTGGAAGTTTAAAGAACGTAGAATAATACTCTCTAACGGCTGGGAACCAGTAATTACAAGAACATTGTTAAAATCAGATTTATTTGCAACGGTTGACACTGTATCTCGTCATGCGTACCCCGGTTAGTTCACTTTGCATAGCTCTTACACCCTTATACGGATAGCTTTCGTTTAGCTGAAGCACTCAATTTGTAGCTGAAAGTACGTAGATTAATCCACTATTATTGATAATAACAATAAACAACTAGAACACTGTTAAAATTGCATTTAATCGCGGAGTACCACTATTTTTTCGACCGGTGGCGCCATCCGTGGCAGAACGCTGAAACTGCTGGCCATATAATTGGCTAGTAGTTTCAGGGATTCGCCACGGATGGCGCCACCAGTCAAAAAAATAGTGGTACTCCGTGATTAAATGCGATTTTAACAGTGTTCTGGTCGTTTATTGGAATTATCAATAATAGTAGGTTAATCTACGTACTTTCAGCTACAAATTGAGTGCTTCAGCTAAACGAAAACTATCGGTATAACGGTGTAAGAGCTGTGCAAAGTGTACTAACCGGGGTACGCATGACGAGATACAGTGTCAACCGTTGGAAATAAGTGTGATTTTAACAATGTTCTTGTAATTGCTGGTACCTAGCCGTTGGAGAGTATTAATCTACATTTTTTAAACGTTGTATCTAATGCAAGACGAAGAAGAACGGTGCCCGTTTAGCTGTGTAAATGCAATAGAAATCCATACAAACAGGGTTGCTGCTCCATGAGGGTCAACGTTAATCTGGCATAACTACTTTTACTAATTCTGGGGTTTTGCAGTATTGAGTCGATGGATTAAGCCCTCAGGAACAATTTGAGACTAATGATGTTCATTTTAAGTGCTTAATTACTGAGATATTTGCATTTTTCCATCACTAGATATTTTCACTCACCTGTCGGTATGATTTGGCTAGCAGTTTGAGCGAATTGCCACGGTTGGCGCCACCGGTCAAAAAAAAAGGGGTACTCCACGAGAAAATGCTATTTTAACAGTGTTCCGGTTTTGTATTGTTATTGTCAATGACCGGGGATTAATCTACGTTCTTTCAGCTACAAATCGAGTGCTTTATCTAAACGAAATCTGTCCGTATAACGGTGTAGGAGCTGTCTAAAGTGAACTAACCGGGGTACGCATGACGAGATAGTGTCAACCGTTGCAATTAAATGTGATTTTAACAATGTTCTTGTAATTACTGGTTCCCAGCCGTTAGAGAGTATTATTCTACGTTCTTCAAACTTCGAATGTAATGCGTGACGAGGAAAGATGATGTCTGTTCAGCGGTGTAAATGTAATCGAAATCTGTTGCAAGTAGGGTTGCCGCCCCTTAAGGGGCTACGGTAATACAGACATAACTACTTTTACTAATTCAGGGGTTCTGCACTATTGATTCCATGCATTACGTCCTGAGGGACAATTGGAGGCTAATGACGTTCTTTTTAAGACAACTCCAATTGGTACAAGATTGTACAATGTTTATGCAGTTAGAATATTTTAGCTAATTTGAACATATGAAATTGATGTTTATATATTAATGATATTATATTATATATATGTATATGTATATTTGAGTACACATATACGTAAACTAAGTGATATAAATGTTTAAAATACAATACGATGCGCCACTAAATGTCCCAGAAATTCCCAAGTTTTCCGACACTTCCTGAATCCAAGATGGCGGGAAACGGTGGGGTCACAGAACCCCCGCACGAGGCGCTAGAGACCCCGTTCGGTGGGAGCGTGGGGTCATGGAACCCCCGGCGGGGACGCCAGACACCGTGTGGTGAGACCGTGGGGTCATAGAACCCCCGGTGCACGCGAAAGAGTACCCCGTGTGTGTGAGATTACTGTATAGTAGGTTGTTAAGTGGGGTGTAACGCAAGAACAAAGACATCGTTTTCGTCGTTAGATACTTAGTTCAATGCGTTTCATTCAAAATATGATATGTTAATATTTTCAGTGTACAAAATTGAATAACTATATATCAGTGGTAATAATGTATTTATTTTCAAGGGTATTTTTGAAAGTCTGTTCTAGTAGTAATATATTACATTAATGACCTTAGTGTACTTCAATATATTCTATGTAAGCCTTCCACTTCTGCCTTTTTGTCTATGTCTCCATTTATAGTTATAGAGTTTATTCGCAACATTGTTCTGTGTGATCTCATAACTGCAAAAAAACGAGTAGTTTTGAAATAGGAAACTTATCTAATATTCCAGTATAATGGTTATAATTCATATAATATCTTACAGTTGATCCTACGATATTGCTTCCGCGGTTTCATTCTAAAACGTGTTATTGTGTGGGACATAGTCTTTTGAATTACAGTTGCATCCACAGATACCAATTCCCTGTTCAATATTGGCCTTCCAATAAGAGTAAAATCCTTACTGCCAAGAAGTAATACTTTTTCTAATTTTAATTTCTCTCCTGGTTGAGGGGGCCAATGACCTTGAACAGTTATAACATCACTTTCTGTTACTTTAAACTGTACTCCACCCACATGTACAATTGCAAATAAACGCCCAGCTGTGTTGGTAGCTATTTGTTTGTTAATTTCATTTATCACATCTGCAAATAGAGAAGATATTATAGATGTACTAATTAAAAATATAAACTATATTTAGTACATATGCAGATAATAACCTGAAGCTTGTTTCTCTTTTTCCTCATTATGTTCAATTACTTCTTGTTGATAACTAGGTGGGTCACAAAACCAAGGCAGCTTATAACGTGTCCTGTAACCAGCTACTCCCATACTCCATAATTTCACTGCTACAATAAATATAATAATTACTTTTATATTCTATCCTCTATATGATATTATTGAAGAATTATTATATCACTTTTGGTATAAGTTTTCTTGTATTATGTTGTGACTACATTATGAATGCTAATGCAAATCTAGATTCTCAGACTAATTCCTAAAAAATGCAATTAAAAAGATAATTATTTCTTCTATTCTAGGATTTATAAAATAAAATTGTTTCACTATGTGCATAAAAGTATGCATATCCATAGTTCAATTGTTATATGACTTCAATATTACATTAAAAATGATAAAAGGGAATATAATAGCTTGTATTGTGCAAAAACTAAATATGGTCAATCACGCGTCATAGTGTTACGTACTTGCTATTATTATGTTTAATGTAATATTAGTAAATACACAAACGCAAAAGTTAGGTTATATAACCTCAATTTTTATACAAATGAAGTAATAAGACAGTTCTTATTTTTAAACAAAGGTTGGACAAACCTGGGTAATTTTCTTTATATATTGTAGTCGGGGAAATCTTTCTAAGGCAAGTGTTCGTGGCAAAATTGAATAGTTTCGTGAGACCGGTTAGAGTCGCCATGATTTTTATGCACTGATTAGGAGACTAAATTATACATATTCATTTATGAAACAGAAAGTTTCAATCTACATCAATGACGTTTTTATCAGCTATTTAACTTAACGAATACTTTGCTCAATGAAACAAAGTGTCTTTTGGTTCTGGTCTTTGCCAAATAATTTTTGCATATATTCACACTTATTACTTTAAAAACAACATGGTGACAAAGAGAATTAAAAAATTCATCACATTTCAAATGAGACAGTAAATAAGTTTTCTAAAATAAGAATCCGAATTTCATATAGGGAATGGCAGATGTTTTCGCAATAAAAATTATATAAGGATAATGTAAACAATTCAGCGGTAAATTTTCAAATAACATCTTTCGATAGCGTTTTACTCAATAGGAAACGGGATAAAGTAAAACAATGATTATTAAACTGCATTGCGAATTGTTTAAAGATATGTACATATATAGTTTATTTTTTATTAGTTTTTATAGATATACCATCGATAGAAACGCATTGTCATTGTGACGTTTAACTATACCTCGTTCTTACTGTAGCCACATGCATGGCTATGTCGTTGTTGTATTATAAAATTATGAAGTAAATATTGCTGATATTCGAAGTTTCATATATGATATATTCTAAGATATATATCTTATATATATATGTATTACAGTATCCCTCATTTTTACTTTTAGACGAGCAATCAAAGATAAGTACACGGATTGAGAAAAACTAACAAAAGGGAACAAGAAAATCATTATATTATTTTGTGCTATCACAACGTAGAACATTATCGGAAATATATACGAGAAACATGCAATAAGTTATGTAGAAATTCTTTTTTCAGAACAAAATTCATTGGTTGCAACATAAAATTATACCTGACGAAGAAAAATTATTTTCTAAATTTTTATATAAAAAAATAAATATGTACAAGTAATAGCGTAATAAAGAAATGTATATTTTCTATGTGGCTTTTTAATAATAATTTACATTTATTCTATGATCAAATGTTTTAACTCCGTTATGCATCTTAACATTCAAACAAGTCTAAAAAATTTTCTCCACATAAAGACTTTGTTATTTCAAAATTTTGTCAAATGAATACAAACTAAGGGAAATTCCGAAACGTTTCACAGACGTTGAAATTTGTTCACAAATCGTTTGTATGTCACGTAATACGCATAGAAATGCAAAGAAAAATACTTATTTTGTAGTTGCTGAACACTTTCGGAACGGAAGGGTTAAATAGAATTTGAAAATGGTCGCAGTAGTATATGCGGAAGACTCGTGGTATTTTTGTAGACTTCGCTTGTAGTTCCGGTTGAAACCAGTGCGCGAAGAGATGTCGTACGTGTTCACGCGAACAGTTACTTGTTATGTTTAGTCGTGTTGTGAGGGAATCGATGACCGTCGAATTGTCGTGAATCGTTCTTGGTGTTTTCAGTAATCCGGTCGCGTTGAATTATGCAGTTTTATAAGGAAAAGCTTCTGTCGCCCGGACAACTAAAACGCCTGAGCGAGCACAAATACAGCTGCACGAGTAACAGTCTTTTGGATGGGCTACTTCAACCCTGGTGGGACTGGCTGGTCAGCAAGGTTCCGCTTTGGCTTGCGCCCAATTTAATCACGGTTCTGGGGCTTATCGTCAACATCGTTACCACTTTGATTCTTGTTTATTACAGCCCCGACGCCAAGGCCGAGGTACCATTTACATAACCTATATCTCATGTTACACTCTGTTTCTTCTGACAGTGTTGTCCTCGATGTACAAGATATATAGTCAACTCTTAAAATTTATCTGGTCCACCACAGAAGCATTTTTCACACCTTATAGACGACTGTCATCACAAAAAGTCAGAGAGAAAGTTCTTGCAAGTTTTCTCAGGGCTATAGATAATATTTCAACTTGTTAGATTCAGTTTGTGTTGGTTCAACTGTGCAAGTCGTTGTTAACATACAAACCTGAATTCTGTGTAGGCCCTGGGAGAGCACATAAATCGGATTGCCTAAAGAGGTTTACAGGGAACTAGTTTCATGAGCTTGTTATATCTTGTTTATGAACTATAAGACTAATAGATTCTTCAAAAGGCCTAATGCATATTCATTATGAATTTATTGTGTGTCTAAAAGAGTATGATAAACAAGAAATGAAGTTACTGACTAAAAATATATATTGTATATAGGAGGGCAAATATTTGTATACTGTCATTGTGCAAACTAATGTCTCCTATTTATAACTTACATGAATGACAAGGATGTGAATAACATTATATTAATATTTTAGGCACCTCGATGGGCATGTTTCTTATGTGCATTTGGCCTATTTGTTTATCAAAGTTTAGATGCCATAGATGGCAAACAGGCTAGAAGAACAGGGACTTCGACTCCATTGGGTGAACTTTTTGATCATGGATGTGATTCCATTTCGACTGGTATGTGACCCAAGAAAAATAAATTTCTCTGATTCTTTCAGCCATTGACTTCCTATGCTAAATATTTGTAGTAGAATGTCTAAACATTCTTTTCTGTTGAAGCAAAATTATATTAAGGTTCTGTATTATACATTATATGCAATGCAGATACAGAATTCTATATATCTCTACAATTTTAATATTGACATTAAATCATATATCAATAAAAGTTTTTTTGGAAATATAACATAAAGAGAATATCATATATATTATAATTTTCATAATATTGTACATTTAAGAGGTATATGTCGATTTCTGTGATTAACTGTACATACATTTTTAACTTTCTGACAAGGGAAATGATAACATTGTTATTTTTATATTTTTTTTAGTATTTGTTGCTCTGTCAGCGTGTATAGCAGTACAATTAGGATATTATCCAACATGGATGTTTTTCCAGTGCTTTTGTGCTATGACACTTTTTTACTGTGCTCACTGGCAGACTTATGTTTCAGGTAAATGTTTATTTATATGCAAGGTGATTAGTAATGATAATTATATTGTGATCAAATGCAAATGTTTCCGAACAGGGTCACTAAGGTTCGGCAAGGTAGATGTCACTGAAGCACAGTTTACCATTATTACTATTCATCTCATTTCTGCAGTTTTTGGACCTAAAGTGTGGATGATGGAGGTTGTATATTTTTTTTTAACAATAGCATGTTACCATTATGTGCGCAACTTAAAAATATTCTATGTCAATCAGAAAATACTGAAATCCTGATGAAAAAATTAATACTTTCTGGATACGCAGTTGACAATTTATTAAACTCTGTACTTATTAATTGGCAAAAAATGTTTATTTTCCATCTTTTTTTCAGTTTTCAAAACTAACTTAAGCTTTAATGTAAGAAATTCAGTTTCATACAAGCATAGAATCATTTTTGAGGCACAATAGTAATATTTTTATAGTAAAATCTTTAAGAATGCAAACACCCGATTTGTAGTATAATTAAATTGCGAAGTACAAAATATAACAAATTTTCGTTAGATGTAACATTAGAAATATAAGAAGTCAATTTTGGGAACAAGTTCGTAAAATTATTACACATTCATGTATAACAATCGTTCATTGATGAGTGGGTACTGCAACATTAAGTTCATTATTTTTTTTTCCTCCGTTATTTGGACCTTCATGGAATTTTACATGTCGTCGTTCCAATGGTAAAGCTGCGAAGTTTCAACAACGTAATTTTTCAGGAGGGATGAAATCTGCTTTGTTAATTAATGTAAAATCACTGCACTGATTTTATCCACCAATTATGGCATTTATATGTGTTTTTTGACCTTCTTAAATACATAGTGAAAGATTAACTTAAATAAATAGTAAGAAAAAATTCAAACATTTAGCTTGGATTCGCAAAAATTGCAGTTTCGCAGCTTTACCATTGAAACGACGATGTGCGCTATCTTTGTTATAGTTCTCACCGATTCGTTCGTACTTTCATTTACTTCAGTCAGTATCAGACAAATTTATAAAAGTGAAAAAGAAATACATTATACTAATCAGAAGCAGTAAATTAGTAATTCTGCATTGTAATTGAAGTGAACGCCGCACAGATAAATTGGCAAAAAATGAATAATTTTTTATTTCACATTCTTTATCTCAAGACTCATGAAGCTTATGGAAAAAAAATTTTAAGATGCCTTTTTCTGCATGAGTCTAACGAGGTTATTTCTTACAGATACCATACATAGATGGTTTTATGTTTAAGTATTTAATAGGAGTTATGACAGTGATTTGTGCATTGGCAAACTTGTATTCTATCTTTTCGGTGATTTTCACCGGAGGAGTGGGCAAGAATGGTTCAACTGTGGCTGTAAGTTAGTCAAATTAGACTTTTTGTTTTTGGAAATATGGAATTGGGAGCAGCATGGCATGAGGAGCGACGCTGAAATTACTTTTTTTTGCTATGAGACTTATTTATTACTTTAACATGCATTTTATTTCCAGACTTAATACTCATTTATTTCCTTTTCATTAATTTCTTTCATATTTCCTCACACTTCATCGTCTCTACCACAATGAATGTACGAGGCGTGACGATAAAGTTTGAGGAATAATTCATTTAAAAATTTTCTTGACACACGTGAGACCGTCACCTACAAACTAGCCCATTTAAGACTGTACACGCGCTTTCTACCGTCAAATCCATTGATCGTAACATTTCTGGTAGTCACGTGCTAACATCTGTGTGAATACCCGCGTTACATTGCAAGCTGTGACAACAAACTTTCGAGAATAATTTTATTTCCGTCAAAGTTGACGAACTGTTTACATTGCTGTCACTTTGACGGAAATAAAATTATTCTCAAACTATGTAACGCCGGATATTAGAATAGATACCAGAAAGTGAGTACCAGAAATGTTACGATCAATGGACCGACGCTGGAATGCGTGTATGTACATACAGTCTCAAGAAGACTCTGAAGGTGATGGCCTTACATTTGTTTAATTTTCGAAATAAAATTTCTAAACGCATTATTCTCGAAACTTTATTGTCACACCTCGCACTATTTGCATTTATACTTACAATTGTTAATCATTAAACTCATATCGATATACATATATACATATGTTAAAGGTGATACTTAGATGTGTGTTTTTACAACGTACAGTTACACATATAAATTCAACTGTAATTATTTCTTGTATTTTTATCTCAAATGGTATGCTTTTGAAACAATTTCTATGGAAAAAAAAATATAATATACGAAATGTATTTCACGTACAACCCAAAATTAATACACTTCAAATCAATTGGTTTAACACAAAAATCTAACAGAGGATCTACTCTTTTTATCATGATCATAATCCTTTTATTTGCAATACCAACAATTCAGTCTGAATGCCAGCACAGTCGTTATATAATATAAAATGAAGGTAGAGAGGTAACAAGTGATTTCTATATCTTAATTGATTAAGTATACTATGCAGCTCCCTCGTGCCTAGTAATTTATTTTTATGTTATTTTGTCTACAAGTATGGGCCACAAGTGAAACTAGCCCATTGGAGGGCGTTGATATGTGATTGTAGAGTAAAATATATTATATAGGATAATGTAGAATAAACCATATTTACCTAAGTAATGGAAATAATTTTGTCACTAATTTTCATAATAGGCGAGATTTTGTGCATCTGTTTAGATACCAGTGTTCGGTGTAGGCACGATCAGTAACTACGTAGCAGTGATATTTTATGCAGGCTACATTCATGCATTCCTTGAATTCTGTAAAGTATTTGAATCTGGTGGGATTGGAAAGAATGGTTCCACAATTGCAGTAAGTTCCATAAATAAGAAACCAACCAATCGCATACACACAGATTTCTTATATTTTTGCCACTATAGCATAGCTATGACGTCTGTCTACTTTCATTCTGCTTGCCTGTCTGAACTATTGGGTTATATGATTGTTCGTGCTAAGAATAATTTTTTTGACTAATTTACACATATCTATATTAATTTATTATAATGAATATTGTCATATGGTGTGCAGGTTACAAAAAAATGTCGCTTATAGTCTGATATTAAACAACAAAGGTGCTATTTCTTCCATGCACATATATCTCCTTATTTTCTACTCGTGCGTTTTCTCCTGTTCCTTTTGAGTATTTGAGATTTGGTAGAAAAATATCTTTTGTTTCGATACCGGATAAGGAAATTTACTTTTCATCTTGTTATAGAATAAAAATCTTATGGTGGGACTGTTGCCGTCAACTGGCTTTACTAATACCTAATAAAAATATATAGATACTCATTTTCACGTTTATAGGGTCTACAGAATTTCACGGCAAAATTGAATGATTTAACAGTATGATAGTTGTAACTCGTGTTTTACTAATTCAGCACACACGAAGACGAACAATTAGACATACATTTTCGAAAATTTGAAATTGTTTCAAGAGCAAGAAGTTTTCCCCAACGTGTGTTGTCCCCGGAATCAGTGATATACATGTAGTATATAATGTTAACTAATGGAAAGATCTTTCGTATCACTTACACAGTTGCCATACACTGGCACAGAGGTCAAGGTGTTCCCATTATGGGCTGCTGTGGGCATCGCTATTTTACTTGCACAGAGCAGCATATCCGTCATTCTAGCCGGTGGTGTCGGAAAAAATGGCTCCACCGTCGCAGTAAGTCGGTTCAGAAATCATAGGATTATTGTGTAGTGCACTCTGCGTCTTATGTCGATTTAGGCCCACAACAAATAAACCAATATGAATATTTTCTTTTAGTTCCAGTATTAAATGCGTACCACCGTACATTTTTGTTAATATTCTAGCTTTAATAGAGTATTCTGAAGTATTAAAAAATACATTACTGTTAAGGGGAGTCGGAAATATATTTAGGTAAGAATAATCGCGTTCTGAGAACGAAAATATATGTTATTCGCCGTAGTGTTTGCTATTTAAAATGACACATAATTTATTAAAATTAGATGAACATGAAGTATTTTATATTTTCCTTTTATACAACTGTATGATCGGAATTAACATTGGTAAGATAGATCTTCTCAGACTCCTCTTAATGTAATTAGCATGCGAAGAAATGATGTATTTCTGTGGGTCTAAATTTTGCAAGAGCATCACACAGAACTGTTTACTGTATCTTTGTGTCCACTGTGGTTAACACCTTTTCCTATGTATCTGTGAACTTATATTGGTACATTCAAACATGTTTTCCTTCATCTAGTCTTCCCATCCATTGATTGCAGCTCTCCTTCTATCCGATAATAGCTTAGAAAAGTTGCATAAGTTACTGTAAATGCATCCACTTAATTGCATGCTATTAGTAATGATGATATAACCTTTGTTACTGCATATATGCTTTGCAGCAACCAATTTTAATGTGTTGTCACATATACGGTGTGGCCGAGAGAAGATAGTATAAGTGGACAGGAGTTGGTTCCTTATGCAAAAATAAATCAAAAGTATACAATACAATTTTTTCATTCAAGGCTTAGCTTTTGAAAGAATCGTTTTTGAAAACTTACCTGAAACGCGTGTATTCCTATTAAGTAGAAACGGAATGCAACGAACAGACCGATTAGCAAAGTTCTATCCAAATTAAATTATCTCGAACACGAAGCCTTAAAGGAAAAAATGTTATCCCTTTTTTTTCGACTTACTTTTGCATATTGAATCACAACCCGTCTGGTTATACTACAATTTTGGGAACACCCTGTATATTGCTAGATTTAATATAGTTTTTATGCTTCCTAACATTAAAAAAAAATATTGACACTGCAAGTAGTTTTTCTTTACTGTAGTTTGAAAAAAAAAGTATATTTTACATTGGAGTACGTAAATTGTAGCGTCTGGTGGAAATGAAACTTGTCGACTAATTATTTCGCATCAGAGTATACAAATTTGTAGTTACTAATAATGTGTATACCTTAATTGTAGATTAGCTTATTTCAATTTTTTACAAAACCAATATTAACGTTCTGACAATTTACTTACTATACGTGAGATACAAATAGTTGATTCCTTTTTCTTTAAATTGATATTGTTTACAGATTTATGCTAATATTTTAATTATTCAGTGTTGTGTAGTTAAATTAGTATTAAATGTGAAATATTCACGTTTATTTTTAAAAGCGTATATAGTTCCTTGTAACTAGCTTTTGAAGTACAGTTTACCTAAAAATACCTTTTTTCATCAAGTGTGCCAACAATTCTTTCATAATATTTATTTGGTTTCAGGGAACGTCAGTTTTATCTCCAATTATTCCATTTAGCTTTGTGGTAGTACCAGCTTTTATAATTTATAGAAAAAGTGCCGAGCACGTATATGAAAATCATCCTGCATTGTACATACTTGCATTTGGAATGGTTGCCGCTAAAGTTACGAATCGTTTAGTGGTAGGTATATTTGTAAATTTTTTTAAATATTGTATTCAGATTCGCACACTTAATATTTTGTGATATCATTGTTCATTATTGCAGGTCGCACATATGACGAAAAATGAAATGCAATATTTAGACAGTTCGCTGATTGGACCAGCAATGCTGTTCCTGAATCAGTATTTCAATTTTTTTATCAAAGAATATTATGTTCTTTGGTTGTGCTTTGTAAGTCTTATTATCTCTATACATACGTTTTAATCGACTTGTTTTAAATGTATCGTATTTTCATATCCTTCCTGTTTATGCTTGTTTCTAGATTTGGGTTACTCTGGATTTACTCCGGTATAGTGCTCAAGTTTGCCTTGAGATCTGCGATCATATGATGATCAAACTGTTTAGGATACCATTAGGAGACCATCGAATGAGCCAGGTTTCTAGTGCAGCTGAAAAAAATGGTACTAATAGGTCCCAACGTAACAGATTGCAAAAGAAACATCACTAGGATTTATTTGTGATAATGAATGCGCTGTATGATTCGTTTTGTGTATAAAAAACAGAGTTACAATGTAAGGAAACCTAGAAATTTGATAAGTTTTTGTTATTATGACTGTATATAAGAAAAACAATTTTTTGAATAGTACAGTTCATTTATTATCACATTAATTTATAATCACGTCGTATCTGATTGGATATAAATAAGAAGTCCTATCGACATGTTGGTTAAACAGTTACTCATTGCTTGTCGTTGATTCGTCATCAACGAGTACAATATCATGAACTTAGTGATCAGGACTATAATTAGATCAAATAGATTAGAGTGCACGTCACGATACATCTTTAAAAGACAAAAGAAATGATACACTGAGTATTCACTGGGAATAGTTACAACAAAAAGACATGACATAACTTTTAAGTGGCTTTATATTTCATTGTTATCACTTTTATAATAATTCAATTAAATCGGTGAATGTAAACTATTTACTTAATCTTCATTTGTTAACAACTGATATAAAGAATATTTGTCTGTGGTAGAGTGAAATCAATCATAACGCCTTGATTGAAATTTTATTGCAACTTAATTACAAAGAGGAGTTTACAAATTTGATGAAAAAAAATGATATTGGAGACAAATTTACACGAAACATTGAGAAAAAAAACAGGAGTGAAACATTTTTGTTATTATATTACTGTCATGATCTCATGAAGTAGTTCGTTCATATCACGCAAGGTGGACAGAGGAAACATTATTTCTCTTTGAACCTACAGTTCTGAATAACAACTGGCATGTATATAGATTTAAAGTACAGGTAATCCAATATTTACATAGTCAATTATAACAGAAACTGTTTATAGCATAAGGAAAAATTACCAAAGATATTCACTTTTAACTGAAGTGATCCTTGTGTAGAGAAACTATTTTTTTTTAAACAAATTCTAATTTATTGAAGAACTGTATGGAATTGAAGGAATGTTAACAGATTTTGTCTCTAGAAGCATAATCTTTTTTTACGTGGTTCTTTATTCTTTATTAACGAGTGAATAATTCTAAATAAAATTGCACATATCAGAAAATGTGCACATTGCATATATACTGGATGAAGGAATTATTCTTAATTTTGAAGAATTTTAAGTTAGCACTGGTGTGGGCTTAAAATTTGTTTATTGTTGCGAGTCAAGAATTTCTTTTTTTTTTCTTTTTTTTTTCATTTTTTTAGGTTCCTATTGTATACGAAAAGTATAGTACTTCACGAAATAAATCTTAATAAATACAATGATAGTATACGTTATATAGTAAGGATTATCTAATTTAAAAATATAAAACAGGAGTAAAAAAATGATTGATTAAAAAATTCTGAGAAATTAATATTAAGTATGTTAGTAGAGAAAGAAACTATTTTGTATTACCTACAATTTTTTATTTCATCCAAAAGTTTATATGCATAAATTTCTTCGAAAGCATACTTTTCAAATTGAAAGCATTCTCTATTTAAAGAAGTTGTGCAAGATATTTATAAAATTAGTTAAAAGAAGTGGAAACAATAATGTTTGTTCTATATAATAATCAAACACGCCGTATAATATATTATTACATGTTAGAAAAATTTTTACAAAACAATTTAGATTATCAGGACGACAATACAACTAAGAGGCTTTTCTGCAGTATGACCGGAGAATAAATATGTACCTAATATGCTAATGTACCGTATCTTGGTTTCTGTTCGTAAACTGTAATATACTGTTTCGATAAACGGTTTTCCTATTACGTGCTATCTTTCATTTTACACGTTTTCATTAGAGAAGCTTAATGTAACGATGAGAAACTTTAAAACTACTTCCCCACTCTCCCTTCTTCAGATTTAATCCACATTAATCCTTTCAAGATGGTTTGTAAAGGTGATTCTCTGAAATAAACTCTGGGTCTTGCATTCTAATGTAGTCATGTAGCCATTTCAAACTGTAATCCGCATGCTGCATTATTATCTGTGCAAATTCCTTCTAGAACCAATGCTTGTTTAACCGAACAATTGCAGAAGAAAAAGAGTTCAGGTATTCACATGAAATTATAAATTTATTCGAAAATCAGATAACATTATGAAATTAGCTGCACATAAAATGGATCAGAAAACTTGTTATATGATACTTGAATTTCTAATTTTATGATAGTATTATTGTTACAGATCGCATGATGTGTTTCACATTAAATTGTTTAGCCTCAGCATGTTCATGGAAGTTTTATGTGTACTTCTCTTTTAGCTCTTGTGTCAAAGAATATATTTTCATAAAGTGAAATTACTATTTCCACTTATGTACATACATTCTTCTGTATACTGATTCCATTTATAAAACAAGTTTTGTAGTATTGGATAGTTTCTAATATTTATAAATTATTAAATGCGTGAAACTGAGGTTTAAGGTACATAGAAACCAACGTATTTTACAAATATATTTGCAACAAGTGTGCTGTGTAGTCAAATGAAGTGCTCTTCAAAAAGAAATACTTTTGTATATACATTTAATTATAAATGTCTTATTTAAATGCTCCTTGTTATTTTTAAGGGTGATTACCGATAAGACATGAAGTTTCGTGGTTTTGGCACTGACAAAGTAACGAATCATAATACAAAATCCCCCCTTTGTTCTTGTACACAGTAAATCACGAGGTATGTAATCCTATGAATGGAGGATTAATGGCATGTAATCATTAAATTTGCATGCCTCTGTGCCTATTCCTATATTGCTTGGCCGTAATGCTTTATCGAACGCGTTCAGGATGTTACACCTCTTGAATTTCCTGACTACTATTTAATCAGTGATTAATAATCACAATAGAAGAACTTCTGAACACGATCGCTGTGATTGATACACAAGCCGACAATTGGGTTATAGAAAGTAAAGGGTTCGGCGTCCATGGACACGTTTCCAAGAAGTAGGATTGAAGAGTATACATATTTCTTGTATTTCAGTTTTTCACGTAGGAATGATGTTTTAGAGTGAAAGCGTAAAATTACAAGAGAAAGACTTCAATGAAGAATGAAAATATAATATATAGCTTTCTAAGATTTAAATGGCGGCCGTACCCTGATCGACATTATGGTTGTAATGAGTGGTCTGTTACATAATTGGGTATATAAATCCATAGTTATCTAATGTTAGATAGTGTTATATTGTGGTACAATATTTAGTGTGTAATATATGTTACCTTACGTATGTGCGAATAACATTTTAATGCCTGGTGTGAGAGAGAGAGAGAGCGTAACGCCAGTTTGAAAACTCTAAGGAAAGGTAGTTTTACGTGACTATAAGTAACTTTCCCGCCTAATCGGTGTATATATTTCACGTGCAAGTTTTTACGGAGGCACGTTTAATTTCTCTTCATATATACATATACACACTTCCCAGATAGCATGTGACGTCTTGAAGACGCCCGTTTTACGGCTATTTTAGGTCTAACACGCCTTTAAGCCGTCTTCAAGACGTCATTGGGTGTCACGTGCTACCTGGGTTAAGACGGAAACCGCTTCAAGAACTTTTATAACATCACAGACTATTATTTACCATGTGTAATTAATAAAAATTCACGTTTTAACAAGGTATTCGCACATGCCCCCCCCTTGTTTTTGTCTCTCTGTTCTCTTATTCGTTGGTATGCATGAATAGTTTTGTTCACAGTTCGCATGATGGTGGAACAAGAGCCTCTGTTAGACGAGGAATATCATCACGGATCCGATACTACCCTCGACCTATGACCGTTGCAAAAGTATTCATCGGCGTGATGATGATTATTTAAACACTACATTGGGTGGTGTAAATAATACATCTAAATTAAAACACTAATATCACACACACACACACACACACACACACACACTTACATTAATGTACGAAGGAATAATGGAGTGTAAAGTTCGGTTGCAATGCCGATCATCCTTGGTGGATGATTAAGATTTTTTTTATACGAAAGAGAGAATAGATAGATAGGTATTAGATACAATATACACAGAAACAGTTTGTCGATTATTCTGTGGTTGTTTCGGGGGCGGCCGAGACGAAAATGTTGCGTTGCATCGATAACGGTGATTAGGCGCGAGATTGCCCCAGATTCAAAGGTTTTTAAACACGCGAACGAAATAACTCTAATTGAAACTGTGAAGTACAATTCTCATAATCCGGTGACTGATTAAGAAATACATAGTTGTTCTTGTACAGCTGTCGATAGAATTTTACGAAACAGTCGAGACAAAGGGAATAGCAAAGATGTTTTTTTTTTACGTTGTTTACACAGATATGTATGTACCTCTTTATGCGTGTGTGTAAGATGAAACCTAAATGATCAAGTTTTTTTTTTTTTTTCTTAAACGAGATTTGTCCTTACAGTAGAGTATAAGTTTTTCGCATAATGAAACATGTATGTATTGTTTCCGTCTTTGTTTCGGGGAGTATGAAATATCGAATTGAAATTATTTTCAAGTATATATATATATATATATATATATATATATTTAAAATGCAGGAAGTAAAACGATGATTTAGTATTAGTTATTATTGTAAGTACACACTTGTAACGGTACGGTGATAATATTTTATTCGAGTGCTTGCGTTTATCTACGAACAATTTGTATTATCTATGCGTAAGATACTGAATTCGAATACGAATCGGTAATTCCGCGGAATTACGATGTTATACAAAGATGCAATGACATTTAAGATGATTGATTTTCCATCGATTATTGTTATATTTAATCGAAACTAAAAACCAAAATAAAGAACCGAGAATGTAACATCGATTTCTAAATAATCGGCACGTCCAGTTTAAAAGAAATTTATTATAGATTCTAACAGTTGTAATAGCGAACGATGTAAATTATGTAAAATAAAGTTTAAAGTAAAATTTCAATAATATTGTTCAAATCAATTGTTTCGTTCAATTTTCCACCGTGTATTATTATAACATCTTACGCGTTGAAAACACAATTATTTTAATGTTGCTCTCGAAATGCTTTCCTCGCGTTCGAAAGTGGAACGAATTCGAATAACGATTAAAAAGTTTCGCATCCTTTTACAGGGGTGGGGGTGAATTGGGTCAACGGTAATCACTATTTCCCGGGAATTCGGTCACATACTTGAGTGCAGTTCGATAAAAATGTTTACGCATTTTATTAAAAAGGAAGTATAATTCTATAACAATAAATCATCATCTTATAAAATTGTTAATCAATGTAAGAATCAAACATCATATGTAAATTATTGAATTCTCATACAGAGTGTTCCCGAAATGGTGGTACAAGCCGAAAGGATGCGATGCTGCATCTATGTATAAATCAGTCGAAAATGTAGAATATCATTTTTTCGCGTCTGTTCATTAAATTCTTTTTCTAGTTCCTGTCACTACGATTACATATACGAGTTAGATGAATTTTGAAAATTCTCTTGGAAACGAAGTATCTGTTATTCTAAATTTTCGACTTATTTCGCCATGTAGAATCACACATCCCTTTCGGGTTGTTTCAGAATTTCCGAAACACCCTGTATAATTATTTTGAAATATCATTTTACATAATTACACTTGTGTAAACTAGTTTTGCGTATAAAATAAAACTTTTGTACATACATTTATTTTCACCTAGAATATAACGTTTTGTTACTATTGATTTACGTGAGCATATTCCCTTGCACGTTCTTTCTAGATTTTTAATATGCAATTACCTTCAAATACACGCGATAAACGGGTAGAATTGGAGGGTTGTGTCCGATGTTGTCATAGCAATCCTCGAGACAGAAGGTAAAGGGGAATACGTAAACAAGCCCATTTTGTTTTTCGCTCACTGATTCCGTTGACACGTTTTTTGTCGAGTCTGGCAACCTCGAAAAATCATGACCGAGACACGTTTTTTCTACTACCCTTGTTCAGTCGACTCGGGGACACCCTTTGTAGGTACTTGGCCGTCCTCAATATTGCGCCCCCAGAAGCGTAGCCCTTCTCCTTACCCTTAATGTTCAGGATTTTCCTTCCCGTAATACCAAACGAAATTTTCTGCGATTGTTCGTTATTTATAAAAAAAAATATATGATTGAAAAAAATGTGTTCCAAATTTTTTTTGTCCTTACCCTTGGTGTTTCAGATTTTTTTGTGCATAGTATTAAATTTTTATTTTCTGAGATTGCTTGTTATTTACAAAAAAACAATACATGATTGAAAAAACAAATGTGTTTCAGACTTTGATCCTCCTTACTCACTGCTACGCCACCCAAATGTAAGAAAAGAGGCTGGATTATTTAAATACCGTTGCAAAATTTTGCATTTGAAAATAATATATCAATATAATTTAAAACGAGACCAACAGTCTCTATTAATTAAACGCATATATTTTCGACAACTTATGCCTTAAAAAAAAACGAAATAATCACTGTCTGACTACATATGACCCTTTCCACTGCGGCAGTCAACGTGTTAATCGAATACCAAAAATCGTAGAATTTTTTTTGTAACAATTCGATCGATCCCAATTTTCATCTAACTCACGATGTTCATTTGTTACTTCGGTTCTACGAACATTCAATCGAGGATCTACATTAAGTTTCTGTGGACATTCCCGTTTATTCAGACAGATTTTGATAAAGTTTTATCATTAAATATGTCACACGATATTCTAATTCGTTTTAATTAGACGATTTTTTCGGATTATCTTGTTAACGTTTGTCTGGAAATTTTCGTTGGAACGTACCATTGATGAGTAGTACAGCGCACGCAAGCGCAAACAGTGTAACCACATTGGTAGAGGGTAGTAGAATAGTACCGATTATGATCAGCCCGGTCACGGTAGAGGCAAGACTTTTGGTCACGGGCCAGTGAATGCCTTTCCTTTTTATTAACCCTAGAACGCCCAAGGGGGTGGGCTCTTCGAACCCACAAGTCGAATAGCGTAAAATTGTAACTATTTCCCGTTTGCAAACAATTTTCAAAAAATTATTTATTGTCGTATACATGTTTAAGTTTGATATACAAAAGTCCTCGTTACTATATGTGAAGAACATTGTGCATAAAAAAAAGAAAATGGAGTACGCGTTGCGACAGTGGCGATCGCGTTTGGCTGTTATTACGTTTTATTACACGATATATTAAATCTTGTCTCTGAAGAATGACAAACGATCACAGAACGAAGAATCGAACTAATGGAAGAATTACAAGAATTAGATTTAGATTAGCTCCATGTTAGTATACTATTTTACGTGATCATTCTATTTTACAAATACATATAAATAAAAAATAATTTAAAAAATAAATTTGTACCAAAAAATAATTTTTTTTAGAAGAAATATGTAAGAAGTGTGGGTTCGAGGGGGTTTACGTGACAGCTCGAATGCTCGGGCGTTCTAGGGTTAATTGTTCGATGATTTAAAATATTTAATTATAAAACGATAAATGTCCTTACAGTGGTTTCGACCGCTACAGAGGCTTTAAAAGTGATGACGCAGGATCATCGAGAGGTTTTCGATAGTCACAAAGAATTGCTGATGTTCTTGAATAGGGGATTTTCAAGAGTCACAAGGACATCTGTAGATCTCCAGAAGAGATGATACACGGGGATCTCAGGAAAGTTCAGGGATCCTCAACGAAATCTAAGAAACTTTGGGGTCCAAGAATCCTTCAAGATCCCAGAAAATTCTCAAGGGACACCTTACGGAACTCCGAGTATTATCGAGAAACCAGCTTGGCCTAGAAACTGTAAGCTACCTAAAAAATGTCCAGATTTTTAAAAGAGGTTTCGAAGATCTTCAGGACTCTCAAAATTCCCAAAGAATCTAACTGATCCTCTAAAAATTCTGCAGATTTTCGAAATCCTCAAGAAATCTAAAATGGTCCACTGAGAACCTTGAAGACTTCTAAAATCCCCAAAAAACCTAAATGATCCAATTCTGAAGATTTTTAGAATCCTCGAGAAATCTAAATGGTCCATCGGGGGATCTAATGGTAATCTTTAGTCGGTAGATCCATTCACAAATTCCTTCATCTATTACAAATAACTATTGATCGTTAATCGAATAGAAAATACGCCACGATTGTACTATCTACATCGAACAGTCCCACGTTCTTGGGTTCTTTAGGAGGGGAACAATGGAACGGAATTTAATCGATAAGATCGAACGTTACTCGACGAAGGGCTCCCTGTATTCCTATTGTCCCGGGTACCTACGTCCCTGCGTTCCACCTCCACGTTCCCGAGCATCCAGCTAAGCCTGACAGCGTTATTGATCCAGCTGGTGGCGGGCACGTCTATGCAATGAGGCCATCCATTCCCGTGGATGGTCCTACGCGCTCCCTGGCCCGAGAGAGTGTGCCCCCGCCACTGAGAAGGTGCTAACGTCGAATTCGGGAGTCAGTTCGTATCTGCGACCATATATACTTATATACACAGCCTGTTTAGATACACGGATCTACGAGTCGAAGTGAAGCAAATATAACGGAAAATGGTGCCCCCATGTGACGTCATAAGATAATTCCGGATAATTCAACATTTTATTCTGTAATCAGTAATTCTATTAAACAAATGGTTTTTCTCTAGACATCCATTGTTCTTATTATTTATTTTAATCAACGTATGTCAATAAAAGGAAATAATTTCAGATTGAATGTTACCAACATTTCAACTAACATTCAAATAATTTTTCGAAATTATAATTTCCAAAATACATTATAATGGGCATTATTTAAAATCGTAAGTGTAACATAAAAATTCACAACTAGTAAAATAAAATATATATTTTACTTAGCAATGATTAAATTATATTTTCGTAAATTATTTAGACATGCATTCCTTGATGTGATATATATATATATATTTTATTATTTAAATCTACTCTCATACATTCGTGGATTTCTCGTACTCAAGGCCATTGGATTGGTCTTGATCTGTACTTTTTGATCCTTTTGTTCGATTTTATTTAACTATTACGCCCCGCTGATAAAAATATGTAGTACCGTTTAAAAAAGAAATCGATGACCTTGAAATTTCGAAAAAATGTGACCTTGAGAAAAATATTTGATTATCTTCTAACCAAATAATACTTCCGTTCACATTTTTCTTTGTATCTTCGAAAAGAAGTGAGATATCGAAGGTGCTCGCATCAGGAGGGACACGCTACATAGTATGCTATAAATGCAAATTAGCTAGTCTAAATATTAGTTGCAACTCTTTTTTCTATCTCCTTTTAAAATTTCGAGACGTTGTTAATGAATAGAGAACACAATTAGGTCGTGGAAGGAGATTAAGAAGAATCGTAGGTGTGAAAAGAGGAAAATACTAACCGGGTCGAAAATGACCCCAAGACCATTAGTTCTGCCCACGTGTTCGTCGAATCGCCATATACGCTAAATTAAAGGGACTGTATATTATAATCCTACGAGAGAAACAACATCCTCAGAGTTTTATTAAGAACATTACCTACGCTGTGTTATCACCATAAACCACCCTCATCAACCCCCAAGGCTGTTCCATCGAGCGACCGTGAAAGTTCAAGCAGGATCAAGGAAATCGCGAAAAAACTGTACACAGAGATTATTCAAGATGAATCAATATTTTTCTTGGAAAAAGTTTTATACCTCTCTAGTACAAATTTTGCAATTTTTTAAACAAGTATAACGTATAAAGTGGAGTTCTAATATTTGCTTTACACACTTCATACTTTTCTATTCCAACGCATATGTACTTAACTTTTCTTTTTTAATATTCACTACATTTCTTCCTCGAATGTATGCACTCTTATCGAAGGAAAGTTTGCCAGTTTTCATTTAACATTGAGAACTTTCGATAAATGCACGATATTTTATGTCAAGTTGTTATTTTACGTTTCATTTAGTTATTTTCTCTTCGCCAGAACAGCAATCTATTCCCCCAATAAGCCAATTGACCGGAGAGAATCGAATTATTCTGCATTCGGTCAAGTACGGTCAACAATCAAATTTCCAAACAATTATTGAAACACATACACGTGTGTATGGGGACTTCTGTGAACTGGCGCACGTCTTCAACACATGTCTGTGCGTTGTAACCGCATTATACACGGCTGATAAGCTACATTCCACGTGTGCGTGCCGCGTAAGCTGTAGGTATACACATACACGCATAATAAAAGCCGCGAGGAACAGTGGTGGCGCAATTAACTCGCCAGTTGGCGGCCTAAAAAGAGCGTAATTTCATGCAGGCCACGGCAATGCAACCGATAATCACGAAAACCTGCGCGTTCTATTCTTGTCGCACGATGAATGTTTCGGTACACAATGAATATTCAACGAAGGCACAGAAATCACGTTCGATCTGCTATTGGTTCTTTTATTCCGTGCATGCGTATTTATTGGACCGTTTAAAAAAACACAAAGTGCCACACCTGAAAGTGTTTTTACTTTTAGAACATACTACGATACTTAAGATATTATTTTTATTATGAAAAATAATATTATAGTACTTTCACATTGTGTAAAAAATATTAATATTATACTACTTTCACATTGTGTAATAATATTAATATTATAATACTTTATATTATTAGGTTTACTTTAATCGCGATTAAAGGTTCACTTGAAGCTTGGGATTCGCGAAGAATTACTTTGAACTTTCGACCGAAGCTTCATTTAAATCGCGATTAGAGGTTCACTTCGAACTTGACCGCATGTTCACTTTGAACATCATTGAAAGTGCACACTGAACTTGACTAAAGGTTCACTTTAACCACGACCAAAGGTTCACTTCAAGGACCTTCGACTAAGGATGACTCTGGATTCGTGAAGGTTCACTTTGAACGGAACCAAAGATGTTCGCTAGGACCTCGTGAATGATAGACCGAAACTCGTTGAAATTTCATTATTCGGAACACGGTGATGGCTGATTCAGAACTGATCGTCCTATTTTTCCGCGAGGTCTATACCACGGAATTCTGACACGAAAATAGAAATTTACCCACGACGTTTGGTTACAGGTCTCCATGGAGGTGGAAAGCGACGATTCTTCCAGGTCGAATCAGTTTCAGGATGGTTCGCTACAATGATCGGGATAGGGACACACGTATTAATTACCCCTCCAATAACGGTTTCCCTGAAAGGACAATACGTTTATTTTCACTCGTGGAATAAATTGGTTTTTCCAGGTATAGAATACCATCTGCCCCGTGTGCCTTTTGAGACGGAACAAAAGTTGTATATTGATTTGTAGTATTTGTATTAACGAATATTATGCCTATTATTTTTAACATTTGATCATTTTTAAAATTTATAATTTACATTTCTTTGCCTAATGGTTATTCACTGGTGTGCAGTGAATTACTTTAAAATTTTTTATTTTTAATAAAATGTATCCTACGAAATTTCTATATTTAAATAATAATACAAAATATAAAAATGCTGCGAATCCAATGGACACAGGAATCAAGAACTACCATATTTAATATTTTATTAATCATCAAATAGAAAATATTTTATGATTAAATATGAAATAGTAGAAAATATATTATAATGATAATTAAAGACATTTTACGTATTTCATTGCTGGTTATTCATTCTTGGTCGATTTAATGACTGATTGATTAATTTTTTGTAGATCTCTTTAGATCCCCAGTGATTCGCGTGTAATTTATTATACTAGGATCCTGTATTTGAATACGAACTTCATGAGTAACTTGGAAAATGTTCACGTCGTTCATGTCTCAGACGAATTAATCGCCACTTAAGGCGAACTAATTTACAAGTCCCTTAATTTTCCGAGGAGTACGCGTGCAGTTCAAGGCAATGCTCGCTCCACAGACGTTATCCTTGAACTGAATAGTTAACGCAACACCTTCAGGACACACGAGGATGCACGCTCGAAAGGCGAATTTTTCATTTTGTACCTTAAACATTGCAAAAGTGAGGACACCTTCCCCTGTAATGCTGTACATAAAAACGACGTAACCAGCAACATAGTATAAAATAACGAGAGTGAACACATAACGGTGGTCTTAAAAGAAAACAATCATTCAATTCAGGTGCGTCTTTCTTAGTGTTATTTTTCTGCACAACAATTTATACAGATCGTTCATTAATAACGTGTACTATTAAAAATGCAAAATTATTCGAGTAATCGATACTTTACTGGTCTATCTATATTTCCTAATCTCGTTCGCGTACGATGCTTGAAAATTATGTTAGAAATTATTTTTGTTGTAAGTAGCCGAAATCTCGATGCAGGTGTTAACGTTTTATTTTTAACGTTCATCGAATTCACCTGTGTCCAGAGATCACGAAATCGTAAACACCTCGATTTCATAGTTTCGATCGATACTGTAACAATGGCGTATTAACTAAATTAAGAAACTCGATTCTTTGTAAGTGATCTCATAAGAAACAAAATTTAATTTCTAAAAAATATTTAATCTTTTTATTAAATTTATATACTTATAAACTGACAGTTAAATGAGAAAACGTTATGTAATTGTTTATTGCTTGTTTAAAGAATTATCAAAGGTTCTAAATAAATATTTTAAATGATCCATTGAATATCTTGACTTATAACAATGAAGTGCGAACATTTTTATACAATTCCTGAACAGTCGAATATAGTGACTTTGCTATCGCGTCTGCTCATTGCATTCCATTTCTACTTTCTGCCAGCACGAAAAATCGCGCGTTGCAGATGAATCTTCAAATTTAATTTTCTCGAAATCTAAGCCTCAGATGACAAAACATTATTCTATAATTTCGACTTATTTTTATACATAGAATCATCCCCGCCCCTCTTCTCGTCGAAGGTGACCTTGAATAATCACGAAAAAGAAGTTGACAAAAAATTTGCTATAATCACGTTAAAGCTCTCTTGAAACCATGCTACACCTGATAGAAACATTTTCGATCGAACTACTAATAACAGAGTAATCTCTACTGATTCGTGGTTCACCAACATCAGTCTCACAATTTTTGAATAACGATTTAAGGTTCTGGGCGTTAAAGGGTTGATGTGTGTTCATCGTACGTAGGACAGGCCTAGATCCGGGGCTCGGCTGTCACGGGGTTCAGGGGCGACCCGTTTACAACGCAAGTGCCGCCCCTGGTCGCGCACGCCTGCCTAGTAAGCTGTTCAGCGAACGATCGCTAGTGTGGTATCGCCAGTTGGCCGATACGGACTCGGGCTTCGTGTGGGCATTTCCATGACGGCGAAGTGGCGATTATCATCCACGAACACGGCCTCCATTCATCTCTAATTACACGTAAGTTCACATACCTGTCGCAAAAACCGCCAAAAAAGAACTCTAATTTTCCTGATCACGAATCCCAATTTTTGTCGGGATCTAGCTTTGATTAAGGGTTGTCTATGGAAGCGTTAGGATTCTTGTTCGCTCGTGAAATCCAGCGAAAAATGTTCTGGGCACCGATGGGAATTTCGAGTTCCCGATGGTAGAGAAAATCTGTTTTTTTTTTCAGCGTGAATTTGAGGTTAAGATCGATTCCAGACCGTTTGAATCGTGGCTAGGAGTTAACTGAGGATGTTAGCATAGTGAGCTGATGACATTTTAGGGTTTGGCTTCTTTGATGAATGTACGCGTGTGTGTTGGAAGAATAGCTTCTTGGATGGTTGCGAGACGTTTGGTTTTTGGGGGAGTGTTTTAGGGTGGAGATGTGGTTTGAGTTTGGATGGGAGCTTAACGGATGATGAGGAGGACCTTTAGGTTTAAGTAAGTTTTTGGGTGAATATGGAAGCAATGAGGATTTATGGATGATTGTAGAGTCTTGTGGTTGGGTGGTTTAGAGGACAGATCGTTGAAGATTGTTGAATTTTTTCTGTGGGAATTGAGTACAGGTTGCAGGAGACTCGTCCACTATTTGGGACTGGAACGCTGCGTTTAATATTCCTTCTATCAGTTAGTTAACTTAAGCGATAGATAATTTTGTTGTAAATTCTTATTTGAGCCCATAACAGTGCCGTCTTTTAGATATTGTCTGACTGTCATTGCAGCGCGCCATTGATTAATTGGCGCATCGTCAGAAATCTATCGGTTTTGTTCTGTTCTGGTTGAAACGGTTGGGTATGTTAATTGTCCGTCGTTCGAATGTTAATTGATTTAAATTTGTATTATTAAATGGTACGAAGTCGTGATTTAGGATCCGTGTGGTTGTAGGTTTCATAGCTTGACCCAGAATTCCTGTCAGATTCCGGTGGAAGTGGGACGGGGAAATGTGATCCGGAAGTTTGACTGTGGATATGAAATTTGCTTCGTGTTTCGTACGTCCGTCGCTTTTGACGTCGGAATATTTTTGTCGAGTGAAAGAAATTTCTGTTAACCAGCTTGAAAAATTAGGAGAAAAAAACTGTACCAACGAACGTTCGTGAAAAATCGGCAGTATGGAAATATGAAAGTGTCAGGCAGAGTATTTATAATATTCGATTTGTAAGTCAGCCTTAACGTGACATTTTCTTTTTGAATGAATGATAGATAGTACCTAGTATTTCGGGAATATTTTGTTTAATCAAGTGTTAATTGCATTCAATGAATCAATGTGTAATGTTGAAGAACAACGAATTGGAATGTGGTTTTTACTTCAAGAATTGTGTTTGAATGATGGAAGCTTTACCCTCCCCCACGTTCAACGTCAAATTTTCGTTTTCGAGGGGTCGAAGGTCCGACGAATAGGAATTAAATAACCGTCGAGTGGAGTAATGCAGTTATCGGCGATCAATGAAACCCTCCACTTTGTCTGGTAGACGTATCGTGAACCGATATTAACCATTAGGTGCATTTCACTACGAACATAGTCTGAAAAATTTGAAAAGTTCAATTTATCATTTATATTCGAAAAAAATAATACAAAATATGTAAGAGGTACTCGAAAAAATTTAACTTTAAACATTTAACCTTTAAAAATGTAACTTATGCTCATTTGCATAATTTTCTAGGCAAATTACCCTCGAATGTTTTATTATTTCGGGCATAATCATTAAGATTCTTTTATAAGCTATTCATCTATAACCACTTCTGTTACAACCCAACACGAAACTGTGCTAGATTATTCCCAAAAAAATCTCACCGATCCAAGATTGCATCGATTCAAAAATAAACCAATAAATTTCTTCGTACTTAATATCTACACCCTTATATTATAGGTAACAATATATTCCATCTATAACCTAACAAATTTTTTTAGATTATAAACATATATTTAAAAATTCCTACTTTTATATAGATACTAAACACTTTCGTACACACAAAAAAAATTCACCCCATAAACACGTGAAATGGTAACAATCCACTTAATAATAATGTAGAAAGGCATCTTTTTTATTTTTTGGACGTAAACGAACGGAAACATCGGAGGCGACGGCGCGTTACGTCGGCAAACATTAAACTTGAAATCGACGTCCTTCGGTATTGCCGTTCCGCCGTTTTATCGCGCTCGTCGAGCGACGAAACGAACCGGAAACGGATCACCGTTCCCTGTGTCCCCATGAACGTTCCGCGCGCGTTTTCTTTGACGTTCGTGACGGAGGAGTCGGTGACGTTCTCTCGTTCGGACGAGGGAGCACGCTAAACGTGTGGGGGTCGAGAACGATTTGCTTAGGGGGAGAACCTGTGGAAACTGTGGAAAGGTTTCGAGACGAAACGTCAGTGGCGGCCCACGCGCAAACGCGACGTCAAACATTCCGGGGACGAGCGTGTACTTTTCGATCGATGACGAATTTTCGGTTTTCCGGACCCTATTTCCCCCTATGAGGCATTCATCGAATTGCCCACGATATTTTAATAAATTTCGATCGAAGAATTGCCCACGATATTTTATTACATATCGATCGAAGAATTGCCCACAATATTTTATTAAATATCGATCGAAGAATTGGCCACGTAATTTTCAAAAATTTCCATTTATGTATTAATCGAGCTACGGAATAGAGGATATATGTATTTATAAAAAAAATGTATGAAAACAAATTTTGTATATGTATATACTAATATTCAATTGATATGTATTAGGCTAAACGACGGGAAGTTAACAAAATTTGGAAAATACGACGATACTCGTATCTTTCTTTTATCTATTATTTCAGGCGTCGACCGAAATCTGTTCAGTATTTTTGATCTAGAATTGGGAAATTCATATCAGTCGAGTGATATTTAGAGATTTTATAATAAAAAAAAAATCGTATTACTTTGTTTTTTTTTTGTTCCTGGTCGCAGTTGTCCATTCCTTTCTAGAAATTTTTTAGTTCAAGATCATCTGAAGGTCACAGTATACCAGATCGTTGAATTCGTCTGGACACCAGCTATTACACCGTAAAGTTGAAAACATACAGTGCAATTTAACAAAAAACCATCGATGACCTTCAGAAGACCTTTAAGACAATCAGAAAATTTTTCCTATCATTGTATTTTTCTCTTAGAACATTACAACTTTCCCCTTCAACGTTTTCTTCCATCCTCAATCCTAATTGAGATATTGGGGTATTCATGATTTCTCGTGAATCACCCTATACAATTTCTCTCGCCTCGCTAATCCAGCATCAATTTTCCCCACGACTATTTCCACAAAAGAGATACTACTCGTCTCGATTCCGTGAATGAACCGAATTAACGTATCCGTTTCAAGCCGCACATTGTAATTCCGTCGAGCGTAACCACGAGACACGAACGAAACACCCCTCTATAGTTGACTCCATAGGGATCGGTTGTACATATTATATCGTCTGTGTCACGCGGTCTGGAAACCACGCGACGTAGAATAATAGCGAATTAATTGACCCGTTCTAATTTTAGCGTTACTAGAGTGTCTGACTCCTGCTATTGATTTCCGTGGTTCCAGATGTGGAAGACCAAACGAAGAATGCTACAGCCATGACTCGATCGGAAGGGGATTCGTACCGAAGTGCTGCGTCGGCACAGATGACACGTAAACAGTGTACAGAACGGTGACAGAGCTTGTAAACTGCAGCCATGGATATACAGAAGAAGTATCTGTGCCCCCGCCTGGTCGATTATCTCGCCATCGTGGGGGCCAGACTGCCGTCAGTCTCTCGTCAGCCTGTGCAGGTAACCGATCTTCTCGATATTGATGAATATGATTGATCGAATATGATTTTAGTGGGGCGATTTCTCCTGGAGAAACGGAGTGAAAATTGTAGAATGGAGATTTTCTTACGTGTCTTCGTTTTGGACGTACATACAGTAAATCGTTGATTAATGTCCGAAGACCCCTTGGCACTGAACATTAAATATTTCACAAACTAATGGCCATTATTGCGGCTGAAGCAAATATCATTTATTTCAGAATTCCAAGCTTTTATCATTGTGCTAATCCTCATAAAAAAATCCGTGTTGTATCTACTGTACATCACCGGTAATTATTAAACTGGTATACAAATAGGAAATATATATTACTTATCAATAGACTGCGGATTTTATGCATCTAATCGTAAGGCTCTTTGAAACGCAATAAAAGAAAAACATTTTAATCAAATTCAAACGATATTCCGATTTTATTCGGAACCAAATCACATATTTAAGAGAAGATAGAAATTCCCACATTCGCTCTTGCCTTTAACCAAAAGATTTTAGAAAATTTTATTTTCCATAGAAAATTCGCAGTCTGGGTTTATTGTTTACTGAAAGAAATGGTGTTTATTACTAACTAATATACCGCAAAATACCACGTCGCTAATAGGATCACTTGGTCAGTACTTTAAATAGCACTGAATTGGCGGAATTAAGTGGAACACGAGGGTGAAGATTGACTTCTTCGAGACTGATTAATCGGTTCATCGAATAGCCAATTAACGGTACCATGGCGATTTATAGGTTCCAGAATTGCTGCGAAGATATCCAGTGGAGGATCACAAGGATTTTCCCCTGCCCTTGGACATGGTCTACTTTTGTCAGCCGGAGGGCTGCACGAGCGTGGGCCCAAAACGCACAGCCTTACGAGAGGCGACCTCCTTCACGTTCACCTTGACGGACAAAGATTCTGGTACGGAAACCATCCGGTGATACTAACGAGCCTTGTTCTGTTTACGATTAAACAACGAACACGTCCGATATATAACGAAAGTTCAGATTTCACGCCTTATCGCGTGGCTGGCTGTTATTGGATTGTTTAAATAACGAGAAAATTTTTATCAGAAATTACAAGGGAATTTTTTTTTTTTTGAAGAAATAACCCACAAATATTTGTGGGTCTATAGAGTCGTTGATATTTGAGAAATTTTTCTTGCTATCAAAACAGAACAGTGATACCGAGTGGTATTATTAAAAAATTTTGTAAAAATCGTAGGTAGAACTCGGTACGGGATATGCGTGAATTTCTATCGGCCGATAGAAAGGGTAGGAGTCGCGGTCGCTGGTGCAATGGCCGTAAGAAGGGACAAATACAATACCACGTTCAGGAGGGAGAGCTGGCGGAAGAGCATGGAAAAGAGCACGGATTCTGCCTTTTCTAGGTGAAATATAACACATCATTCAATTTTCTAGGACCGCAAAATACGATGCACAATATTTGTGTACAGTTCCTCAAACCATGTCAAGCATCCTCAAACCAGTTCGAACGTCCTTCTTAACACCAATTCAAAGAACCGCGATTGCAGTAGATTGCTAGTTTTACGATTTTGCGATTGTATCTCTAGCTATTGTTTATAGCGACTATAGGAGCAGTGCGGTGGGCCCTAGCGATTCAGAGAAAGACTGTCCCAGCAGCCGAAGGGACTCCGACACTTCCCACATACCGAGCGCACCGAGATTAGGGATCACCGCGCCCAGTGGCGACAGCGAGAGCGGCGGAAGCCACACTCCATCGCCGTGTGCTTCGCGTAGACGACAGGTACGATCGTAAACAGTAATTCAGATGCCTCTCGATTATTGTCCAGACGTATCCCCACAACTAGGGGGGGGGGAGGCACCTATCTAATCTATATAGAAAATAATATAAAGAAGTAAAAGGTACGAGATAATTCTCGACGACGGACAAAAAACGGTGGACAACCGTTCGATGCGGGGATTCGTTAACTGCTCGCGGACTGGGAATGTCGACGAGCAGTTCAGGAATCACTCCATTGTACAGTGGTTACTGCGTGTCGTGAAGTAATGTTACACTTTTTATCGATGATTGAGTAGTAGCAGAGTATGTATTAATTATATACTTCATTGTTTTCTTGAGAAATGTAAGGGAATCGATGTATAATACAAGTTGATCAGACAGTATGGGGTGGCAAAAGGTTGATATTCGATGAATGTATATTTAACCAAGGAATTCTGAGGAGAATCGATACGATGTCCTTTCAGAGGATACGAAACCACTCCCTGACGTCACTCTGCATCATTTCCCATCATCCATTCTTTTCGATGTTCCGGGAATGCCTTTTCGTTCTGAAGAAGATCATCGACGCGTGTAACGAGAGCTCCTCGCCGCAAAAAGTGGGAGCTTCGAGGCAGACTAACAGGTATTTGAACCAATATAATGACACACACACACTATGAAAAACATTATTTCGTCTTATTAAATGGTGTCCACGACAAAGAGAGCGCTCCACGGATCAGTATTCTCAGAAACTCCCCTATTTAGCGTCCACTACGATCCCTTAGGTCCAAGGTCATCCCATAGGATCTGAACTAAATTTAACCTTGACCTTGGATTTCGTCCTTAGAGCATTTATGTGTATGTGTAATCGAACGATTTTATCGATTCACGACAGAGACACGGTATGGAGCGTTCTAACCGGACAGATACTCGAGGGAACGCCGTCTATAGTGCTCCACGACGTACGCGAGATCGAGACCTGGATACTGCGTCTGCTGAGCAGCCCGGTACCGGTTCCCACAAAGACACGTGTCGAGGTCGAGATCGTGTCGCAAAGTATGCAGCCACCGCTCTGTTTTGCACTCCCAGACCACACTAGATTCTCTCTCGTTGATTTCCCTCTGCATCTACCCCTGGAACTTCTTGGCGTTGACATATGTCTGAAGGTCCTCACGTTGATTCTTTTGGAGCACAAGGTGAGCACCCGCAACATAGTCTGTTCATAGGCGAAGATTAGTTAACTCATCATTTGATTAAATGCTTTTCTAAGGAAGACGAGTTAACTCGTCATTTGAAACGAATTTTCCAGTGATGAGGACAAGTTAACTCATTGTTTGAAAATGTTGCGCGACGAACGACGACGAATTAATTTCTTACCAATTAGTTTCTCATTCCCTGCAACGGAGACAGTATATCTGCAGTTGTTCTTTATCGTTAGTTTCATTATTTTATTTTTATCAGAAATACTATTAAGGGAAAACGAGATAAAAGATTAATAGAAGAAATGTTTGAAGAAAGTACAACGTATTATTAGAACTATTAGGCCTTCGAACGTGGCCGTTTAATTCGAACTGGCTCTCGATCGGGATTTACGTAATTGCTAAGGGGCTAATTTACCCCCGACGGAGAACAAGTGATCCGTGTACTTCTAGGTTAACTGCGAAGCGGTAGTTGCGTCAGTGTTCGATTAATCTATTACGAAACAGCAAATTGTTGCAGACTGGTGCTGCGAAAACTGTTTCGAGTTTACCAAGACGACAATTAAAGCGAAACTTTATAATTAACGATGGATCGATATTCTTCAACTTAAATAGTTTTGAATTCACCAATGAATGAACAATAATATTAAGTAAACAAACGTATCGAACGAATATTGAAAAAAATCTCATTTATAAAAATGTAGCGAGACGATCCAAAAAAGCGTGTTTGTAAATACTTTTTGTTCAGTAATTGTCCTTGTGTTTGGTTTCAGATCGTGTTGCAATCCCGCGACTACAATGCCCTGTCGATGTCCGTAATGGCGTTCGTTACAATGATTTATCCTCTGGAGTATATGTTCCCCGCGATACCGTTGTTACCCACGTGCATGAACTGCGCGGAACAGTTGTTGCTTGCACCTACACCATTTGTTATCGGAATACCCGCTACTTTTTTATTGTACAAAACGAACTTTAAAATGCCCGATGACATTTGGCTAGTGGACCTAGACAGCAATAAGATAAGCGCGCCTACTGGTCTGGGCGATCAATTGCCACCGTTGCCCGAACCAGAAGGCAGCATCCTAAAGAATCACCTGAAGCAGGTAAATAATAAATGAACCCGACACACGCACTGTTAACTATCGGTTTCGATCGGACCTGGGCAGGATCTGATTCAAAGAACATTTCGGGTACCTTACGCGGCCATTAACAGATCCGTAGCCGCCATGTTCTCGGTTTTCTTACTTAAACCAAAAAAATGAACACAATTATTTTTTAAATTTGACTAAAATCATTTGGCAAAAATCAGACTCAAAAGCTTCCACAGTCGTTCTCTATAGAAACTTAATAGATGGGGGGATCTACAATTATCAAAACGTCGTGGAACTCCTTGAAGTATTATTTCCACTTCAGAATTTAAAAAAAAAAAAAAACAAGAAATATTCTTTAAAACGGATAAATTTCCAGTTTCGAGAGGAGATGTTTGCCCAGGTCTACCACCGAACCGCCGTCATTTCGATCGTACCGTGATCCGTATATACGTGTATATCGTTTCGAGATCGTATAACGTTCTTAATTAATTCGTTACTCCTCCGTTCGGTTCCGCAGGCGATGCAACTGATGGACCAAGCCGGCTCTGGTGTAATTATTTCTATTACCACTCATTTCGTTTTGCATGTAGCGCAATTAGATGAAGCTCCTTGTGTAGTAGTTAGCGGCATGGAAGCAGTCTGCGTATGACTGTAGACACTATTTTTCGTTACCTTTTATTTTTAACTTTCAAACGTTATTCCGGTAGAATATATCCGACAAAAAGAAACGGGCAGGGGGGGGGGGGCGAAGCTTGGGGATTAATCGGACTGGGCAGCGTAGCGATTTAGATCGAGTAGTCCTAGTTGCTTCAATTACCGTCGACGATTAGAAGGTCTATCATATGCTCTACGAAGGTCTACACGAAAGAATTTTGTTTTTCGTACGTTTCACGATGCTTTCGCGTTTCCAGGCAATGTCTAGTATGAATCCGCAACCGTTACCGCATGACGCCACCCCGAGAACATCGCTCCAGGCTCCCAGTCGAAGGGAGAGCACGACCTCTCATCTGTCTACTTTGAGGTAATTCGAAGAAAAAAATTGTGGGGTCATGTGTGATTTAAACGTAACTTCCCGAATATCATTTTAATTGTGAAATATTTTATACGTAATTCGAATGGCATTAAGTGGTTCAGTATCCTGCAAATATTTTCTCGAAGCTGTCAAGGCCGTCGATGTTTTTTTAACATCGTCAAAAAGTAATTTAGTATACATTATAATCAATTAATAGTATTATAAATTAGCTTCAATTAATTTTCATGTGGCTAATTTTAAAGTTTCAATATTTTTCAAAATTTGTGCACAAAGATAACAAATAAGACGATATCCTGTTTCTTTCTCAAATTTTTCAGCAGAGCTCCGCTATTATAAAATTACATTTCTCTAAAACATTTGCCAAAGAAGTAATTAAAAAATATGTTTTTTTTATCTGAAGTAATTTTCATCCGGTTCTTTTATGCTTCCACTGTAAGTACCCACAAAGCTCATTTCGCTCAGCTTATTAAAGCAACATTTATAGATTATCAACAAAAAGATTGACACTACATTTCAAACAGCTGTAAAACTAACACTTTTTAACATCTTCAAAAATCCATCGAGACACGTCTATATACCACTACAGACACATGTCAAAGTTACAACAAAATCCGAAATGTTGCACCAAAAAGTGTCCGATTACGCTCGGAGAATAATCCTGTACCGAATGTTCGACAGGATCGAATATTCTGTAAATGCTATACATTGGATATTTGGATTCTATAATCCACAATGCAATAATAACCACAATTATACATACGTTATGCCCACAGCATATCGTCGAAGCACAGACCGAGCATCGACCACCACCACCACGCTTATCCGCAGAGTAGCCCGTTGGGTTCGCCGGGCACGATGACTTCCGGTGGCCGTCGATTCTCTATGTCCCAATCGGCCGGTTCTTCGTCGCCCCAGAAGCCAATGTCACAAGTCACGTCTCCCTTCAATCCCTTCATTCAGGACAACGACGTGGACTCGGTGGACGTCGCCACCAGGGTGGCGATGGTGCGATTCTTCAACTCGCAGAATCTTCTCGCGAACTTCACCGAGCACACGCGAACGCTTCGATTGTATCCGAGGCCGGTGGTTGCATTCCAGATTAACTCGTTTCTGCGCTCGAGACCGAGGGCCAGTCACTTTTTAAGCAAATTCGCCCGGACCCAGGCGGTCGAGTTCCTCGCCGAGTGGTCGTTGACACCAAACAACGTGGCGTTCCTCAGGGTACAGACGGGGGTGTTCGATCCGTCCCAGATCGGCGACAAGTCTAAGTGGTACGTTTTTTTTTCTTGCGTCATTTTGCCGTGTAGTCGAAAACCGACGATCCCTTCGGTGGTGTTTGGGGCATGTAGAAATCTGGCCTGCTGACGATGTCCTTCAATTTCTACGAAAAACAGGTTTGCTTCGACTCTGGAACCGATTTATTTCCCGGTCTGGGATTCAGGGAGCTCGCTGGCGAACGCCCTGAAGGCGATGAAGGAACACGAGAATCAGCCGACCGACGAGAGCGGCTCGGACTCGGAGGGCGCTGAGAGTACGAGTTCATCTTACTCCTCTTTGAGCGATTTCGTCTCCGAGATGGTGTCCTCGGACCTATCGCCGAGTACGTACGAGCAGTTTGAAAGTGTGTTGGTTAGAAATTTAGTGTTGTTTCGAAAGAAAGGAATTATACGTGCTTATGAATTTGTGTAGTTTCATTTGTGGAATATCTGCTTTATTCTAATGTAAACAAAACTTGAATCTTATATTTTGAAATTCTTCATGGTACGGTACCTTTGGAACCAAATTCCTATGCGTATTCTTTGTTTATTTGGATAAGTGTCACGGCAACCAATTCAACCAGTTATTAGGCTTAGGTCTGAACACGAATTCTGATGAATATAAGTTAGGTCTGAGCCTGTCGATCGGTTTCACAGGTTACAATTATTCCCACGCGGCCGAGCCCCAGCCGATGTCCCTGTCGGTGGATCCGAAGAACGTTTACAATCCACCGAGTGCGTTGCAATATCCCGGGGTAGACGAGGAGTCCACGGTTAGGCCAGAAAGTCCACCGAGTACATCGTCCAGCCACAGCGATCTGAGCAGTCCGAGCTTCAACAGAGACTCGGAATTCGAGTTGAACCCGAAGGCTCAAGAAGACTCGCCGTCGACCAACGTAAGTTTCCATTCATCCCGTGAAACTTCGTCACCAGTATATTTGTTCAAATTAATATTCCTTTACTATTATACGACACATGTTTCTTGAATTTCGTAGTGAAATTTACCGGGGGATGATTCGAAAAGAACGAAACACTTTAAAACGGTCGTTATTGAGACATTCCATTGTTTGGTTAAAAATAATTGGTCATCGTTTGATTATTAAATGGTACATCAGGTTGTGGTTTAATGTAATCTTTAAACGAGATATCGAAGTGATTCGATTCTTTTTGAGTCTCCCTTTAATATTCTTGTTAGACCACAGAGACACTTTCAGATGAAATACTCATGGTTCACATGATCTCACGGATATATCACTTTTAGCTCGATTCTGCATTCAGTATCACCTGCCCCCGTCATCGTATCACTGTTTCCGATACACCCTGTATAAGACACAAAGCACCGAGTATTTCGTCTGGAAGTACCTTAACACTCTGACTGTCACACTGCATTACAATCTTCGAACGAAATGAAAATCATACGTTACTGCTCATGATTGCCCATTTATATTGGACTCGCAGTACTGAGAGATGTGTATGAAATTTTTCCAGACAACCAATTTCCTTTATAGTACACCCAAATATATTTTTTAATCGTGAAAACGCAAAAAATATTTTATGTGTAATTTAAATGGTATTAAATGGTCAGTACCCTACGGGCAGCGTTCTTTTTTCTAATGTTTTTTCTCTCGAAGTGTTCGAGGTAATCGATGTTTCCTATCAAATACCTATATACATATTTTTCATATATCATACATTTCAGATATGTACTATAATATGACCTTGAGAAGATATGCAGTTATTTATAATATAAGATAATTCTTATGATTTAAAACATAATATATGAGCCGCTTGGAATATCGTTTGTGTACTTACATAGTACGCGTTTGAGGTTAGGTTTGCAATTCGAAGTTCGTAACGTTCACAACCATCCAACAGCCGATTTCTCTTCTAACGTTTTTCATTTACCTTTGGACCCCGTGCTTGATCATAGGATAAAGAGGAGGGTGGTAGCTTTGAGTCAGACTCTGCATCAACAATAACACCACGCACAATCCTGAGCGCACAAAGTTCGGTACGACAGTTCGGGGGTGTCGGAACGGCCTCTATGGCCACCCCGACAGTCAGCGACATTGAACGTCCTGCCGCTCCCCACAGGACCTCACGTGTCAGTAGATTTGTCGTTCCTGTGAGTCATCCGCCACGCCAACGTCTTCTCTCAGTCTCTCGGTGTTAACCACTTTGTCGATTGTTGCCTTTTTATCTGATTGGTGTCACACAATTGGGATGCATGCTGCACGGGACTGGGTACGATTCGGCAACGAAAACAAACGCGATTGTTCCTTCTGCCGTTAGATGGCGAATTTTATTGTATCGAGCGGAAGATCGACCGCTTTATCGAAGGTTCCGTTAATCGTTTCGCTACTGAACATCGATTACAGCCATTGGACCCCCTTTTGCCTTATTTAACGCAAAGTCGAACTCGTGACGATTTTCATTTGGAATTCAAAAGAGAACTTTGGCAATCGGAAAAATTCGATTTTTTTAATAGTAACTGTACGTGTATAATGAACATGGAATTTGTTTTTTTTTTTTTATAGAAATCGTAAGGCAAAGGGTCAAATATAAGGTTTAATGACATAATAAAAAAATACAACTTTAAATAAATATTGTTTTTATATAAATACTATTCTATTTTTATGCTTGGAAGGTCATAGTTTCTAATGCATTGAATTAAGACAATAGAGGAACGAAAGAGCGTACAGTGCGCAAAGGGTTGAGTATCATATTAAAAAAATGTTGGGTTTTTAAAGCAAAGTATGAAAATTAGAATATTAGACTTTACTCAATTTTGTATTTATACTGAGTTTCGAACAGTTGAAAATACGAAAATTCGCAGTCTGTTGAATCCATGGGACGAAAAAACGAATGCAGAGAAATCAGTAGTTCGAGTCAATGACTGACGAAACTGCACTAGATAAAACTTCTCTAGATCAAAATTCACCATGGATTATACATTTACCTCAGCATAGAATATAAAGTCCAGAATTTTTGTAGTTTCATTTTATCGAATCTAATGATTCGAGGCAATTTCATTTTACAAAAAATTTACTTTCAATATCGCCCAAAAATAAAACAATGTTTATGAAGTATTCTACCCAGTCCCGAGGAAAACCCACGTCCAGCATGAAACCCTTTAATTTTCAAATTCTGTACAGGATCCATTACTTGTTTTGCGTTTTTGTGTTCTGTAATACATTGATTCCTCCCTGTATACATTGAACAATTGCAGTTGAATTATTCCTGGAACCATATATTTCTTAATTTTCTGTTCATTCTTTTTCTTTTCCATTCGAATAAACTTGGTCTTTTCGTTCGTCTTTTCGTTGAACTGATTTTCGATCGATCTCACTTTTGGGAATCTCTAAATGCATGCTCTTTGTCTCTCTTTCTCTTTCTCTTTTTGTGTCTCGCACCGTGAAAGCCCACGCGACACACCAGAAATGCTGCAACCCGACGAGAATTCCATTTGAATCGCACTTTTTCTCTCTCTATCGATGTTTACGTGCACACCATTCGGCGATTCCGTCGAAACCTGCATGGTCGAAAACGATCGTTTTCCTTATTTCTGCTCGTTACTGCCATTGTGTTTCATTATATCTGTGTACTGTACTCGTTTCACGGTCGAACCTGTATCCCCCCATGAAAATAATATTCACTGGACCGAATCTAATCACACAGATTCCAGGTATTACATATGTAAAGGGGGGATTTTGTCACATTACACAACGTCGAATAAACACGTGATTAGCCTTTATTAACCCTCGAATGGTAAGGTGGGTGGTTCGAAGATCGTACTTGGTTACGTCGAATTCGATTCGAGCTGTTTTTTGCTATTTTCAAACAGGTGAAGACAAAAAAAAATTTTTTTTATCTTGAAATTGTATGTTTGTTTATTTATGTAATAACAAATAATATTTGAGATGTATAATCTATTGATTAATAAAAAAATGTTTCAAAACGAGAATAACAAAAAATAGAGCGAGGACAGCAGAAGAGGATCTGTAACTTGGGTCAGACACGACCCGGACCTTACCATTGGAGGGTTAAAATTATCATGGAAATTCTAGAAAATTCGAGAAAAAATTTATGAACACACGTGTAACGAAATTCCAGTTGTGTATGCTACTAAAATCTTGCAACCAAAATTATATATTTTCTGGTAGATTCGGAAGATCAAGTGATCGTCGTATTATTGGCTGTAGTGGTATCAGAAACTCGGCTGTGTCGAAACCGAAACGAATACACGGACAGTAAACTGTATTTTCGATATTGAAATGTACTCTCACAGAAACGAGCAAACCAATCCTTGTTTTTTTTTCTGTATACACACGAACACCTGTCGTGTTTCGTAACAATTTTGGTAAAAATAATTTAGTCCCTTCCGTTGTCCACCTATTGGTACATTGTCAGTAGTATCCAAAAGTAAACAGTACCTAGAACACACGTAGGTAAGGAGTATGAAAATCTTTCTTGAAGTTTCGACTTGAAATTCTTCACCCTAGTAAGTACTTAGAAGATCGTTCTTCTGTGACCAAAAGTCTTCGGAGGGATCGTGTCCATTGACATGATAAACATGGCGTGGACACGGAAGAAATACAATATCCTTAGATTTTTATCGAAGAAACAAGTCTTGAACACCTTTGAAAAAAGCGCGCCGTGACTGTCGCTGACCTACGCTAACCCCTTGGTAGGCGGATTGCCTAGCTTCAGGCGTTTTCGACCCCAATTTTTCACGGTTAATAACTCAAAAACTTTGCTTCGTATTAAATGTAGAATCACCCCTAAACGAATAAATTCGTATCCTCTGAAGTTTTGTTTACGGGGAAAATTTAATTTGTTTACTTTTAAAAGAATGTACCGTGTCCGAATGATTGTGGGTGTAACGAAGACATAACGACATACAAGTTATTTGCATATGTGTAACGGTAGCTTAAGGATATCGTATTCTATCCCCAGTGTCCACGTCGCTTAATCTCGCCTGAACTCCCCGAGAGTTAGGGTTCCTGATCATTCGTGAAAACAAACTTCACCATTTCGATTTATTTTTCGAAGATCCAACCGTCTGGAGCGGTTCTTCAGCGTCACCCGAGCGTTGGGAACGTTTTAGCGAGGGCGTCGAGCTTCGGGACCGGTACCGGACCGCTGTTGCCCAGACAGATGAGCAGCAGCAGCGCTGAGAACTCCGAGTCGTCGACGGTATCCAGACAGCTTTCCGTGGGCGAGACGAGAAAGCTGTCCGTGGAAGGTGGACAGAGGCAGAGCATCTCGAACGTGACTGGGAACGGTGTTCTTAGGCAAGGGTCGCAGGGATCGTTGTTCGAGCAGATAGCGACTCAGGCAAAGGATCTGGTCAGGGAAACGACCCGGCAGAGCAGCCAGGATGGCCTTCTTGCTCAGATGGACAAGGTAGATCATCCAGTTGGTAGTTCGAATCTTGTCATTGGGGTGATGCTTAACCCTTAACGAGCGGGACCACGTAGATTTACGTTTTGGCTGTATTTCCGAAAACCGATCAGACCCTATTTGGTTGAAATTTTGCGAATACCTTCATTTTACATAGAAACAACGTTTGCGAGAAGGATTTTTGCCGACTCGAACGTTAAGGCCCAAAATTTGTAAGAAAATATATTTACCACTTTAGTGTCACTCCCAGCACAAATGAATTTTTTCGGACGCTAAGAAATTCTATAACGGGTCATCTATACCAGATAAAATTCAACCACTGTCTTTAGAGAACACACTGACTAATAGAGAGGATTTATTCGTTCGATAGCTGAAACATCAAGCGAAAGAGAAGATCACAGAAGCCGGTGAAGACAGTCTTTTCGCGCCATTGGAACAGGTAACAATTAACATATTAACACACCGTGAACTTTTCTAAACACAGTGGACTCTTGCGCTATTGCCACGCGAGGCACTTCCCCCTCCACACGTACTTTCGCGCGCACAAATTCGCTCTCCCGCCACGTTGCGTACTGCGTCGCCACCAGCACGATCCAGCATTTTATTCCATTACAGCCCCGACTACGGCAACATCGCAAGAGTCCACTGTACACAAGAATCATTTTCGCTTATTTAATCCCACGAAATCACGACAGTTCACGCAACAGACGAAGAAAGCTGTCGGGGAGGCGACGAAATCCGTACAGGAGGCGTCGAAGACAGCGATCGAAGCGAGCAAAACCGCGGCCGGCGTCAGCAAAAACACCTTCGACGATCTGACGTACGTGGGCAAGAGCACTTTCGGCGATTTGACTATAATTCTCGATCGATCGTGAAATGTTTACAGGGTCTGGGTGACTCGCAGCAATCGCCGCCACCGTCGCCGGGTATGCTACAACGTCGAGACTCGAGCAGCACGCAATTGGTCGCCTCGGACAGCCGCGGTGGCCGCCGGGACATTGGACGTGATTTCTTCAGCAATATTAGTAGCGATTTAAATGGCATCGCTGCGCAAACTAGCAGCATGTTCAGTGATCTATTTGGTAAGAAAAATATACACAGGGTGAAGGTACATAACACCGCCCCCGTGTTCCTAATATCTCGAATATATCTAAGATAACTCGTTACTTGTTGATTGTATCAGAAAACATTTTAATGAATGATTTTTTTATAACTTATTTTGGTCGAGATATGAAGGTGACCTTGAGGTTTTTCACGGTCAATGCATCTTGTTTTTAATAGTACGTTGTCGCCAATAAAAGGACAAATTCAAACTTAAAAAGAAAATGTAACATTTGTTAGAAGATGTATTTGGTACCTTCACTCTACGTACTATTTTTCTGTAGTTTTTGCTCACTAACAGAATTAACCTGTCGAACTCAATCTACACAGGCAGTAAGAATAATTCTAATCGGAACGCCGGTCTGCAGCAGCAGTCACAAAAAGGGGACAAGAAGACGCCGATACTGGGGCCATTACCCAAAAGTACGATTCAGTTTGGTTTTGATTGAAATCGAATTTTCAAGAGAATTTTTCCTAGAACTGATTTATACATTTTCTTCGTTAGGTAAAACGGGATTGGTGGAGCGTTCGTCGTTGATCAAACACTCCAACAAAGCCAGCGCGGAGGACATTCAGAGGATGCAGAACGCGGAGCGGTCCAGTACAAATAGCGACAATCAGGCTTTCCTCACGGACGTAAGTTTTATTTTATGGCCATATGCGACTGAAACAAGTATCATTGGCTTCAGAATTCCAAGCTCTATCACTGGTGCCGAACCTCATTAAAAAGTCAGTGTTACACCTGAGGACCTCTCCTTGTTAAGAGTTGTATATTGATTAGCATATTTTTTGACTTAGTATATTTAATCCCCCAACAAGTCCTCTCTAATATTTTCGGAATCGTATCAGGTAGTGAATCAAGCGTTAGCCGGCGAGGGCGTCGGTTGGCTGAAGCTGAACAGGCTGAAGAAACTAATGGAAGACGAGAGCTACCGTGATCTGATGGTCAGCAAGCTGAACAAAGGTCTGAACAAGAAGATCAGTCCTGACGATCACATCGACGATGTGGTACGTTCCGATATACCCTAAGATCAGGCCTAAAGGTGCATATCCACTAGTATTTGCCTAGTGTCGCATCACCGTTATGTATCATTGTGAACGGGTGATTGTGTATCGAAAATTTTATGTAGGATATGCAACAAATGGATACGCACCTTAATAAATTTTCTCTCTCATCTTTGTCGTAATAACAATTTTTAAAAATCGAAGAAATTCGAATCTTTACATCTGCCATTCACGAATACACTTTCGAAACGTGTTATTTTGCAATAAAGTTCCACCGTCCAGTTATAAATAAATCTCAAATAAATCCTAAACGTTCAATGATCGATGACTGGATAAAGAAACCTTGTTTTGACACACACGCGTTTTGTGTGATCAGTGCATATCGAAGCCGGTTTACAAGGGGATGCTAAAGTGCCTTCAAGCAGTGGCTCACGGTCTTGGACACACTTACAATAATTTCGGACTGGGCGGTATGGCTTCCGTCTTCCAGCTAATGGAGATCGCGCACACCCACTATTGGAGCAAGGACTTCTCGGAAGGGGGCGGAGGTTTCGACAGTTCTATAATGTCGCAAGTAAGTGCATTCAAGAGATTCTCGTCTGATTCCGTATTGGATTGTTGCCATAATAAACGTCGTTTTTAAATCCGCAGAGTTTTAAACGATTTTATTTTGAAATAAATATTTTTTTTTAAACAAAACAAAATTCTTCTTGATCTCTATGTTTAACGATTTTTCCGGATAAGTGAAATGAAGCGAATTATGAAAACGACATTTATTATACAATAACTTGATGCTTAATATTGAAACGTGTTTCTTTATGGATCTTTCTGTTCTACTCAGGCATCCAGTCCATTCGGTAGCAGGGAGAATCTGAGGTCACCACAGTCACCTGCTCATCAAGAATACAGCGACGAACGACAAAGATCAGGTTTGAAAATTGTTTACAATTTAACTGATACTATTAATTATATAATTAATGTATCCTTTATTAACTTATTACGACAAAAGCGTCCCAACTTCATTTGGAAATGCCGCACGGACACACGTCACCGGCTCCCGAGGGTTCTCAATCGACGACGGACATGTTCCTCGACATGTTCACGAAAAAAGGGAAGTTCCTCAGCAGGCTAACTTCGTTCGACTCCGAGGTAAAAATATTCGGCGATAAAATGTTCCGCGACAAGGCGGTTCACAAAGGAGAAATGATTTTGTAACATTCTGTCTCGCATTGTTAATCACGACGTTAATTCAATCGGTGTAAAGCCTCGCAAAAATTTCTGTGAAATGGGAACAGGAAGTTCCATCCAGTATGCCTGCTTTAAACGTTACACACGTGATCATCTGACATTCAGAAACTCGACTTCATAAGGGAATTGTAATGGAATATTTCAATTCTTTTTTTAATCATGTCGTTAAATTCAATGTCTGAAATTTAAATGATCAATTCAAGACATTGATAAACGAGGGAAATGGCATTAATACATTTTTGTTCATTAGTAATATTCTACACTTCAGTCATACCGATCATATCGATCCTCCTCACCCCTCAAAATCTACTCGTGTCGCTTTTTGTTCATTGTCGATACAAGACACTGCTGCTTAATAAAAAAAAAAGTATCCCAATACTTCCATACTGCTCGTCGAGATTCAGTATATGGAGTCAACGAAATACCGTTTCGATGACGGTTATCATTGTCCACCGTAGAACAGAGCCTATTCGTTTCACACGATGAGCAAACTCGTTCAGTCGTCGTGTGTGTGTTTTCTTTTAGAGTGGGCGGGGAGGTGGAACAGGAAGCAGCGAAGCTTTGTCCACAGACGGAGGTAGCATTATCACTAACCCTGCTTTTCGGCAAGCGCACCAGGCTTCTTTCCGAAGCACTGTCTCTGATAGCGAGGTCGAGCAAGGCAATGTAAATGATCAACTGAATCCGTTTCTACTTATCTTTTTGTCCGTATTACATACCCTAGAATTAAAACGTTGGTCGTTAGAGCGACCGTGTTTAGAAGCTACGGGAACTAGCCACCCCTCCCCCCAACATCCCCCAAGGTCACCTTGGACGAGTCGAAGTCATAGTCATTTTTGGAAATTTTTTTCGAAAAAATTGCCGAGAATAACTATGTCATTGACTTATCCAAGGCGGCGAAATCCCTGAATAGCTGTTAGACCGCCTGTTTAGACTAGCGTCGATTTCGGGGAGCGAGTCGAACAGCCTCCCCGAGTGTCGTGGACGATTAAATTAACAGCAAACATCGAACAGAATATAAAGAAACTACGAATGAACACGGTGACGATCAACCCCGGCTAGACCAGGATAGCATGCTCTGCTACCGATCGCTGAAGTAGCGTTTGCACACGCGAGGCCGATAAAAGCTTGTTGTAACAATTAGCCCGACACACGTTCGATGCATCTTCCTTCGCTGAATTTAGACACGATCACGTTAGTGGACTGCTCAAGATCCGCCCTATTCAAATATTTCGAGACTTTTACATAAATAAATGGTCGAAAGAATTCGAGGATCATATATTGTAATCATTGTATTTGTCGATATCATGTGTAATTCCGGTAAAAATTTTTTACGGAATCGAAACTATGTAGCTATTAGTATTGTATGTAAAAGATCTGGATTTGTTTCGTTTCCTTGAATTCGATGGAGCAATAGGACTCACACACGGTAGCGATCCTATAATTGTTTTGAGTAATGTATTTTATAGTGTTCGTTAGATAAAACAGTAGATATCCGTTAAATGCTACACATTAGATTTCCATCTAGAAAAGCAACGAGAGAATAAAGTGATCTTGAGCGGACGACTGAATTGGTCCAGTCGCCCTGGCACAGGATAAGGCACACCAATTTTTAGTCAGATATTTTAGATAAGTGTAGATTTCTAGTTTCTAGCGAACCGAGTGGTGCCCCCCACGAGAACCAGGGGTTGAAACGGTCACGAAAGTAATTGTTGATAGATCATAACAATTGTTATATAAAGGTTCCGACTGAAACTGTTACGAGGAACGGAGATGATGTTACAACTTTACAAATGTCTGGGCTCTGGCCTACATCGTTTTCGGTTAGGATTCCAAAGTCTGTTATTATAATTAATTTGGGATCAGTACGAAACTGTTTTCCCATCGTGTCTATCATTCTGTTTTCGAAGAACAACATAGAATCAACAGGAATAACATCGAACCAATGTAGAACCAATATAGAAACTATAAAGAAACGATATAGAAACGATACAGAAACGACATAATTGTGGAAGTGTAACCGAAACCAACATGGGCCAAGAACCTTTTTTACCCACGACAGTGACCATCATTTCAGTTCTTTGTAACTGTATCGGGAACCAGAACCGAAATCAGAACCGTTTTCAATCCCTGCCACGAACGGCTACACTCCGTGAACAAGTAGTTTGATCGATCGAGTTGAGCTTGCAAACGAACTGCATCGAGAAACACGATCGTAGGTGTGATCGATCGGGCTTGTTAGACGAGTTAGAGTTTGATTGCTAGAGAAGAAACGTTCTATCTTTTGCGAGTTCTCGACGAGAATAAGCACATTTCGGAATGGTGTTATTCCTTTCGTTTATTTTTATGGGAATCCGTTGTTTCAGTTCCCACGTCAGCCGAAACAACGTACCGGAAGCGTATGGTCGAGCAAATCGTCGCTGAGCACCGGTTTCCGGTACCATGGCGGAAGTCTGGTGCCGACAAACACCGCGCAGAGTCCAGAGGCCGCCAGGACATACTTGTTCGAAGGTATTCTCTTAAATGTACCGTGGATAATTTCATGGAAATTCATCAATTCGTCCACTAAAAACGATGGTCGAACGGAGATTTCGAAAGGTTTCATCGTTTCGAAAATGAAAGAGAAAATTGAACGAGCTTTATCGAAATTTTGTAGGACTATTGGGGAAAGAGAGATCGTCGCTTTGGGACCAGATGCAGTTTTGGGAGGACGCGTTCCTGGACGCTGTGTCTCAGGAGAGAGATATGATTGGTATGGACCAAGGTCCAGGAGAGATGATGGAAAGGTAATCACTGATTGCTATTAGTGCAAGCAGATCTGGGCAAATTTGATTTAAAATGAAAACAAGAAAGAACTATGTGAAATAATTCCTTCAGAAAAATGTCAATAATCTGAACTCAGACCTAGTCACCTGTTATAATTTCGAAGAACAATTTCACAATTATTTCTAAGAATTAATATTTCAAATAATATCATTTTAGAAGTGCCCGGGTCTGTTGTAAAATAATAGCTTTTTGAACAGTGCACGAGGGTTAATAGTGTCCCAGTAAAGGTCTAAGCTTTTCGTTCGACAAAGTAGCAGAGAGAAAATAATTATTAATTATATTAATAAATATACATTAGGTATAAAGGCTTGAGCGAAAGCGAGAAGAAACGACTAGAGCACGACGAGGACAGGCTACTGTGCACATTGTTGCACAATCTGACAGCGATCTTAGTGATGCTGAACGTCGAGAAGAATGAACTGAAACGTAAAGTGAGAAGGTTGCTCGGGAAAAGCCACATCGGTCTGATCTACAGTCAGGAGCTGAACCAACTCCTCGACCAAATACACAATCTTGTAAGTGACCCAATTCTTCCCTAAGCTTAAACGTAATTGTAAATTTTTTCTTTTCTATTTTTGTTTATTTTTGTAATTCTTTAGATAGTTCTATGGAACTTTTGTCGAACTTTTTTTAAACTTTTTTGAGTTGTCCTCTGGACTCTATAATTTATGTTTCACTATTATAAATTTTTCCTCACTTTTGTAAATATTACTATTATTGCTGTTTCTTTTTTTTTAATCGGTTCGTTGATCGTTTCAGTACGGCAACGACATAGACTTGAAGCCCCTAACGTCACGACAGATGCACCGACAGTCGTTCACCGTGCACGCAGGCGTCGACGCGGAGGGCGATCTACGGTTCCTCGAGGTCCGTCACGACGGCCTCGTGCTCCGATCGGTAAACGGCGTGATCGTCGAGCGATGGTGGTACGAGCGTCTCGTGAATATGACGTACAGTCCGAAGAACAAAGTATTGTGCCTTTGGCGGCGAAACGGCGGGCAAACGCAGTTGCATAAGTATTACACGAAAAAGGTATTTCGGGTGTTCCTTTAATAATGGCCATATATGCCGGGAATAAATATCATTGGCTTCAGAATTCCAAGCTCTATAATTGTACTAAACCTCATTTAAAAAAGTCAATGTTACTGGGGATCTCTCCTTGTCACTGTCGAGGAGCCGTCGAGCACTCATCGAGTATTCACTGTATTGCTCATTCATCGGTGAAATCTGTATTTTTCTTTTTAATTTAATTAGCCAAACAAACAAAGATGGCCGATACCGATCTACCACCTACGGTTGATAATCTTTGTAAAAAAAAAATGTGTGTTTCCAGTGCAAGGAGCTCTACTATTGCATAAAAGACGCGATGGAGAAGGCAGCGCTCCGCGGTCGGAGTGCAAACGTGGGAGTCGAGCTCGGCGGCGAATTTCCGGTTCAGGACATGCGTACCGGCGAGGGTGGGCTTCTTCAGGTTTGCATGGAGGGCGTGGGTCTCCTCTTCGCGAATAGCAAGGTATGACTCGCCCCTGACAAGTGCAAAAGCCCCCCCCCCCCCCCCTAATTCTGTCGAGAATATCTTTCTAATGGTGCAACAAGAACGATGCTTTCGATCTGACAGATTCTGCAGGCCGTTCCTACTATATACAATATTTATACATTCTCCTATTCTCTCGATTCTTATTATTACATCGCCTAATTGTTTGTATCGAGCTGAAAACGCAACCGATTATCCGTTTCTACCCCCACCCCTCCCCGTACAGTCGAGTAAATACCTAACCCCTCTACCCCTTCCACTCCGTTTATTTTTATTCGATTTCGCCATCGTTAGATGGCGATGTCACTGCTCCGCCGATAATGTTGAACACAGGATAACGATGCATTTATTTCAGCGGTCGAACACGATTCAGCACGGGACGTTTGTTCTGTTGTGATACGTGTTTCTGTGAGGGGGGCGTTCGTTTCCGTTGGGGAAGGTTCGCATCGGCTCGGTCGTCGTGTTCACCTGTTTGAATTTCGCGGGCTTTCCGAGTCGATGGGAGATAAATTAGATATGTTTGTTGGTTGAGTTAGAGTTGAGGAAATTCGAAGGAAACATCAGACAAAATAGGACGCCTTTCTAGGCCAGAAAGTTGCACGCGTGACGAATCGATAGACCTAACATCCGCCATCTTGAAAAAAAAAGCAGATGTTTTCAAGGTTCAAATAATAGTTCGTAAATAATACATTTCCCGGGAGGGAAACTAGTCTGAAGAATTATTAATAAATAATAAGTATTCTACAGACTAGAATGTACAGCGATTTATCTCCCAGCGATCGAATTAATCGGGATTATCGTTAAAAACTGATCGAAGATCGAGCCGTGGCGCACGATCAATGGAGCATAATCGCGGCTCCGCCCACTTACCCCCTTTTTACTGTTCGTATTCTTTCGATTATTAAATATCCTCTCTTTCTACTCTCTCTATCTCTATCTATCTCTCTATCGATCTATCTTTCTCTCTGTGTTCTCTTTTCCTTTCGTTATTGCATTGATGCAAGGACCACTCAATATTATCTCCCATCGCTAGCCACCACGATCTGCTTAATTTGTCTCTCTGTACGTATCTTCTTTTTTTTACCAAGTCTTCTTATGTATTGAGTTCAGCGAGGTGTACGATGACGACAGGATGACGAGTGTGATCACGCGGTAACCAGCACTGGTGTGCCTCGGGACCTCGAAACTCGATTGGAACCATTTTCAGGTCCAGCGTCTATAGACACGTTCAATTACACATACACACACACACGCGCGCCAGAAACACACATGCACAAGGAAACGGAGCCGTAGATAGAAAGAAAAACAAACAAAAACAAGAAACACACATGCAGACACTCCCAGAAAACGTAAAATAGTGTACAATAAATCCTCGATGAGTGTTCGAAGACTCGTCAGCACTGAACATCAAATATTTCATAAACCAGAAACGAATATCATTGACAAGAGAATTCGAAGCTCTATCTTCGAACACTCATTGATGATTTACTGTATATTGCGGGTATAGTACCCTTCTTTACATATCTCTACTGAACAGAATCGAGATATTCAGGTGGCCTATTGCAGGCGTGCCTCATCCTGTGTTATCTCGAATCGATTCCTCTACTCCATAACACTAATCCAAATTTTACTGTATTTCCCTGATATGATATATGTTTCCTACGTTACGGTAACAAGATTTCCTCGACAATATTTGTGTTTCCTCACGGCAACCAAATGGACCGGGGAACATCAACTGATTTACAAATCGGACGATCGACGGTGGAGAAACTCCCTCCGGGGAACACGTTTCACGTTCACGTACGATCACGAGTTCGCTCGGTAAAAGCTAGAAAAAAATTTAAAAAACATCAGAAATCACATATATACAACCTACACACTGTTGCACACAGGATATGAGGCCCCCCGACACGCTGGTTACAATTCTATTTAACTTCAATTGAATTTAATATGAAATATGTATTTCTTTACCTTTAGTAATACTTTAAACAATTTAACTATGTGGTATAATTGTACTTTTTCGCGTACCCGCCCGGTACTTCGTTACACGTATATATGTATATATATACATATATACAAATGCATTATGTATATATGTATATATCCTCCCACGTACATATATACATACGTTATATGTGTATATATATATATATATATATATATATACACATATATATATATATATATACACATATATATATATATATATACACATATCATCGGTCATTTCGTTGGGTAATACTTTTGTTGAAGCGTTAATCAGTGTTTTTTCTTGCATGGAGCTCGATGTGCAGCTGCAGTCTCTTTTTATCTGTATTATAATCACATCCTCATATTTTCTAACCATTATATACGATTCATATATAGAGGTGACAAGGAACTAGGAAACAAACAGACTTGAGTGATATTATACTCTTCTATCTATACATATACATATATATATACATATATATATATCTATCTATCTCTCTATATATATATATCTATATTATAATTTGTATATTGAATGTTGGATGCCAATTCTATTTTAATCTCTACGAGTCTTAAAAATCGACATATTCTTCTTTTTCTTCTATTTCCTCTACTTCTTCTTCTTCTTACTCTTCCGTTTTCGTTCCCTTTGTTGATTTCTTGTTTGTCGTGGTCATATAATGCGAAAGGAAAGTCTATTTCACGACGATGAAAGAACGACGAAGGATTGGGTTCTCGAAATGTGAGACACGCATAAAATATGTAATTAAATAAATTATTCCCACCAGGTTCCCGTCCGATAGACTTTTCTCAGCTTGGGGAACTTTTGAGATGGTCCTTGAACAATGATATATATGTATATATCTTTGCTACCTTTTAATTGGCCATGACCGATCTATGTAGGTGTACATAATAATCTCTAGCCTGTGATCCATCGTACGTACTCGAGAGCCCTGGGCTAATCTAACGCTAACCAACTAAAGAAAAAAACAAACAAAAAAAAAAAACATTCAGCAAACATGTTACCTGTTGGCAGTGATTTAATTTTTGTGTTTTTCTCTGTTTTCTGTTTTCTTGTCCTGTCCGTCGGCATTGCCCCTGGGCTGGGCAAACAGGATTTCGAGGTACTAATCAAACTCAATCATTGTTTGTTATATGAACTCAGTATATTAATTAAATATAATCAATGTTGGCCGTGTTTCCGGAAATGCTTCTTTATTTCACCATTTACTTTTAGCCGTGTTTGAACCACTCTTTAACCGCGCGCGCGCGCACGTTATATGACCAGGGCGGTCGGTCGGTCCCCCTCCCGTTAAGAAACCCCGATATCCTCGTCGATTCGTTCATCCGGTTCGACGACACTAGAAAAACGATCTGATGGAAAGCTAAACGGATCGTTGGTATGTTTTTTCTTCTTTTAAATGGAACACTTCGTTGCGTATTAGATTGTAGTGAAACGTTTGGATTCCGTTTAAAAAAAAAAAACAAACAAACATATCAATGAGTTAAGAAAAAGAATCAATATTCTCGAGTAAATCTCACGAAAGTCATCGAACTGTGTAACTTAACGTACACACGTGATTTTCTATAACCGTCGTCGATCGGATAGAAAAAACACGAGGATTCATTTCTAATCGACCACCCTGTATATATACGTGCTATATATATATATATCTATTATATACTACACTCTGAACAGTGCATTTAAATTAACTGATCTGCTCTGTCCACCTTACTGTTTTCCTACCATCGATCGGTGTTAGTTGTGACACGTATATATATATAAAAGAGGAACACACAAAAACACACACACACACACACACATACAGAGAGAAAAAAAACTTTTTATATATATAGACGCGCGCCTGTATGTTCCCTTATTATATGACATGATATTATATCGTTGAAGCTGACTCAGGTACCAGCTGATCTATATAATAATAATAATAATTATAACAATAATAATAATACGCGGAACAGTGTCTGCTGCATTTCTCACCGAACGATCCCCCGAACAAATATCTATTGTCCACACTTAAATATATATATATTTTTATACTTTTACCATAGTCTATTGTCATTCGTATATTATACACTATGATTCGATCCTATATAACACAGAGTATATTTCATTTCTTCCACGCGTGTCTCGTTACAGCTTCCTTACACCCCCCGGGGCGCGTTCGACGTAGAAAACGAGAAAATTACTCGCCAGTCGCGTCGATCTACAGAGTGATTCATCAGATATTACCATCTTCGATTGTACGTGAACCATTGTTTATTCGTAGCGAAAAATGATTCACGTAGAGTCGAATGGTTTTGGGACAGGGCACATTCTGATGTTAATAGTTTTTTTCTTTTTATATACGTGGACGCGTAGGGGACATACGAAGGTTACATTTTCTGTAAATCTAAATCATTATAAAATTAACAAGACGCTCATTATTTCGTAAAAACAATAAAATTAAGATTTCTCTTAAATTAATGAGTTTTTAACATAAGTAGGTAACACTCTTTTGCAAAGTCCAATCAACTTTATGTGAACCCATTTTTTGCTACAAATAATAACAGACACATACAATCGAAGTGGTAATTTCTGATGAATTACCCTGTATATCGATCACTAGTTCTCTATCTATCTCTTTCTGATGGTACTGGAGGTGGTAAGGAAAACGAAACGGTTCAAAGACGATCACTGGTTATCGTCGCGTAACAACGACAGGGTGTATCTCGAAGGGGCACTTCACGAACCGCGGGAAGATTACTGTCTAATTGAAACGACGCCCATTAATCAGGCAGTTCAGACGGTTGTAATACGGTAATTGAAAGTTATCGACACGACCCCTGCGCGACGGTTCCGGGTGGAATTATCGGCGGTTCAGTGTTAGCCGGGGACATTAATCGTCGCGAACGATGCTTGACGCAGTGTGTATTCCAGTTTCATAACGGCTAATGACGAAAGATTTATTGCATCTGATATTAACGGTGTGAGATTCTGCTTCGAATGAAACGTTCGATGAATGGAAATACGTGGAAGAATCGTTCATTGGACCGAAATGAATATAAAGTGTGGAATAATGTTTCCTTGTGCAACTCTTTTGTTTATTGTATTTTTACATAGGAAGTTCGAAAAATATGATAAATACTGCGATAGAAAGCTTTCAGTAACAATTTAAAATCTTAATGTTACGCTCGATATCGATTATTAATGTTTCTTTTATCAATAATCAAAAATTCATTAAATTGATCAAAACAACACGAAGAAATGATTCTCTCCCGAGAAATAAATCGAAAGTGTGTAGCAAAGTTTCTAGTCGGGAGCCCAAATTTCTGAAATAAATAGGTTTGAAGTCTTGAGGTGGAGAATCCGCCATTAAGATGATAAGGAGACGCCATTACGACATCATTATCTATCAGACACTACCTATGTGTATACAGAAATATTCAATCGTAATTTTCTCAGGAATCACACATTGCACAAGGAAACTTTATCCCATAATTGCAATTAATGATAATTACTAGAAAGTCCTCACACTATGCAGATTTTTGTAACTTCTTCGTTAAAAAAGAGTTTCGTATCCACCCTCCAGGAACCATTCGAAAAAAAAAAACGGAACGAAAGCGCGATTAATCGATGATAACTCATCGGGAAGACTTCTCGTGCCACTTATATGACGCGCAAAACCGGGTGACGTTGCCAGAGCCACGAATATTCCCGCGAAAGGTCGATTACGGGCGACGTGAATCTCATCGAAGCTTGTAATACACACGTCAGTGAAACTTGTTCTCGTCGAGAACGACGATAGAGATGAATGTTTAAGTGCAACGAGTCACAGAATTGTTCGTGTTCCTCCTATTATTGGCGATCGAACAGTGTCTTACGAAAGGGAAACAAGATCTTTCTGATCTCGTAATCGATCTGATTAATTAAAAAGTAAACAATTCGTAGTTAAAATCGTTAAAATCGTTTCGAGCTGATAACGAAGTAGACTGCAAACGATTCTGTGACTCGTTGTACGTCTCTTCAAGGGAATTTGAATGCACTGCATGAACGAGTAGATCTCGATATACTATATGTATAATAGAAGGAAGTCGCCCGCTTTTGCAAACCCATCTTACAAGACCCTATCACATTGCCAGTTATGTAGTAGAGCAATGGTTTCGTGCTATATAGTGATGTCTGACTTTATGAATGAAACTAACTCCGAGAACGTGGACACCGACTCGAGAGAGGGCCAGACGACCACCCTCTCCCGCAACCCCTATTTACTACACTCTCTATAGCAGTGTTTTTCGAAACGTTCGTGGATCGTCAGTCTTTGACCATACAGACTGAATCGTTACAGCAAGTAGAGTTTGAAATGCTTTTCGAAGACGATTTAACGATTTCTTTGTTAATTAGGTATGCACTTGGAAGATCTCTTTCAAAAGTGTACAAGATGAACGGGCGATAAGCAAAAAAGAAGAACTACATTTAAATGTCGCAATATACTAACATCCCCAGTGATAAATAGTTCGAACAGAGTTGTAAAAAAATTAAAACGACGAATTTCGACTAATATTCTTATCCTTTAAAGCCAGTTCTGGAATTGAAATGGAAAGTAAAATGAAATATATGTGTTCTTGTGTACATAAGTATAGTAGTCTTGTATAGTTCTATACAATTTTTTATTAGTATACACTTTAATTAAACTTCTCTATTAACACATTCGTGCCATCATTGTGAAAGTGCGTTAATAATATGTAGCAGTATAGTATACACCGATATAAAAATATTTTCTTTTTGTGGCTCTTGAACATTCGAAAATATACGGAAAGTATTATACGTGGCTCTTATTATCGAAGAACTTGTCCCCCACACCCTGGACCAGACCCACGAATCATCAAGTGGAATGTCAAGATTTTTATAACAATATCGCACAATTTCAAATCTTCTTTAAACCACCAAGAAAAGTTCTTTAAACCACCGCGCGTCGCGCAAGAAGGAACACCAGAAAACAACGGAATTTATCCTCCGTCGGAACCTAACCTTACCAGAAGATGAGAACCAAAGTATACCAGTACGAAGATACCTATATTGCCGAAGAAAACCGGTTCGATACGTTCGAAAAACACTGTTCTATAGTATGACACCGTTAATAACACGATATTTCAAGTATCGAGGAGAACGATCCCTCCGAGAGCCCCCAAAAATCTTATGCATCATCGGAAAGAACGAGAGCCCTACAACTCTGTCCTACGTCTGTACTCTCTCTCTCTATCTTTCTCTGTTTGTTCGTATATATATATATATATATTTTTTTTTTGCTCTTAAATAAATTCTTCGTCCGCGCCAGACGATACAGTTTTGCGCAATACGAGTCGATTGACCGACGCTGAGGCCAATCGACGACGATTCACATTCGATGAGTTTAGGCCATCTCCAGAGTTGCCTGCCTGCCCGCTAACAGTTTTCTTATCGCTGCGATTGCTGGCTGGCCGCTCGCCTGAGATACTATCTCTATTCCTCTATCTGTCTCGCTTCTGACGTGAAAACGAACCGTACTCGCTGTCACGGTTTCTAATCGCTTTTTTGTTGTCGGGCAATTTCTTTTTATTTTTTTTGTCTTTTAAGTAACGACCGAAAACACAGCAGCTCCCCTGTTCAGTATATACGCAGGAGGGTAAATATATCTACACGAATCAGAGGGGACCGCGCGAGTCGCCTCAGCCTGGACGCATTTCTGTGTAAAAAGCGCTTTTCTTTTCGCCGGCTTTGATCGGTGCTCAGCTCATGGGCGTAGCCAGGGCGGAAGAGGGGGCACATGCCCCGCCCCCCTAGAGAAAAAAAAGTATCTTTTCCATACGTTAGAGGAGAAAATATTGAATTTCCCCTCCCCATTAATAGAAAAAAAAATGGCCCTTTGCATACCCCAGAGGGGAAAAATTGCATTTTGGCCGTCCCTTCTAGAGAAGAAAAATAATATCATGAAAATTACCTTATGGTAAATTTTGTAAATGTTGACTGATAATCTGGCTACGACCATGGCTAAGCTGGACAATGGGATGACTTTGCGATTGGCGGTGAAAATGATGCATGACGCACCGAAGAATGCATTGCGTTTGTCGTTGCTCGTTTGATGGTGTCCCTGCATGTCCTGTCGGTGAATATTGTTCCTGTACATGCACACGAATCGGGAATCGTAGGAAAAAGCAAACGGTACCGTGTATAGAAAGCAACGAATGTTTTTCATTGATATTGTATATGATTGTAGTGGGACGATTTCTCCTGGAAAAACGGCGTGAAAATTCTAGAATGGAGATTTTCTGTACGTGCCCCCGTTTGGAGGTACATACAGTAAATCCTCGATGAGTGTTCGAAGGCTCTTCGGGCACTGAACATTAAATATTTCATAAACTAATGGCCATATGCGATTGAAACAAATACGTTTGGTTTCAGAATTCCAAGCTCTGTAATGGGATTTGATACATTCGGTTGGTATGTCTGACCATTAAATACCGTTTCTCCTTTCAGTAGAACGAAGAAATTTTATTAATTTTCAGGAAAAAATGATAATTATTTATGATTTCCGATTCATGTGCTCATGGAGAATATTACCACTAGATCTGCAAATAGATTTTAATACTTTGCCCGTCTGGAGGACATTTTAATAGGCTCTTTGGTGCCCCGACCTAGTCGATTATTCGAGTCGATGAATAGAGGTTCGAAGTGTCAGTGGATAATTTTAAAGTCTTATTACCCCCTCGAACTCTTCCTTAGTTTGTCGATTAATAATGACAAAACTACTTTACAATATATACTAAATCATTACGAAAATCTTTAAGCAACGTTAAGTAATGTCGTCTGTTTGGCGATGTGCATACAAATATGTTACAAAAGCAATTCGAGATAAGAAGTTAAAAAACAATTAATAGATAAATGTTGCATCAAAAAACCTAGTGGTAGACTCCGGATTGGAAAAGTGTTACATCGTAGAGCTCGAACCTCAGTTACTAGACTAACACTTATGCTACGTGTCCACTAGAGAGTGCTGTTCGACAGTTACGCTGCGTGTCCACGTGAGATGTTTCAATTTCGAGTGTTGTTATATGTAAAACAGAGCTCTTTACTCTCGAGAGTTCTTCAACATTAACACCACGTGTTCACACGAATTTTACTCTCGACAGTCACTCGACATTAATGCTACGTACCCACAGGAGAATAACTCTCGATAGTACAGCTCACTAATGAACACAGTCCTAATAACGATTCTCAAGAATCTAAAGCGTAAATCTCAAATATTGAGAATATAAATCAAAAGAATCTACTGTCAAGTGGACCACAGATAAAGCAGCCTCCCTCGATAGTGGATCCCCCGTGGAGACGTAGCATTACCCATAGGGAAAAGTTCGGTTCTAGAGCAACGAAACTAGTAACACCACTTATAGTGACTAAAAAAGCTATTTGCGCACAACCAAGGTTTAAAAAATAATTTCACGACCTTTCAGACCGTGCTATAAAGATTACAACATTTTAAACAATATATACTTTACTATTACATATACACTACCGCTTATAAGTATATGTCTATTCATATTAAATTCACATTACTAAAAAATACGACAAGTTTCAGAGCAAGCGAACTTCGTGTGAATTTAATTAAAAAAATTAAAATAAAAAGAGGTAAATCTTTCGTCGATCGGAGACCAAAATGTACTTATGATACCGTATTCATTACAGAAGACAAAAGTGTGCAAATACTTTTTTTATCCACACTGTAACAATCACATACGTACATATACATATAATATGTATCCATATGTTTCCTTTGGGTGTTCGTTATCGTGCCACAAATAACCCGAGAAACAGTCAAAAAATAGAAATTTATCAACATTCATTGTGTCACTCGAAGCGAATATGTTATGTGATAATGAGCTTTGGTGCCACAGTCGAGGAAATCTCTCCCCTCGTCGTACAAATGAACCGATAACAACTGTAATTCTAAAAAAAGAAAAAAAGAAAACAATAGCTGAACAGAAAGAGATCTCCTCGACATTCGATGAATCTTGCTTTTTGAGTCAGACGCACTGTGACGCGTATTAACCGATATGATAGTACGTGAGATCACGGAGGTTCAGAGCTTGATCCCAATCCATCAGAGACATCCGATTTACCATTTTGATGTGTACACGCCTCTTAAGCTGCGTCTACACTACATAACAAAAGAATGTTATACATACAAGAAATTATTTTGCTATTCAACATGTTTTTATAATTTGATAGAAAATTATAGCGTTTGATAGCACTTGACGGATGAACGTGTAACTTGCTATATAACACAAGAAATGTTATATAATATTTTTCTTTCTGTTCTTCTATCAGGTTTTATAACTTGTTATGCTGTACAGAGTGTTCGCGGGTATTACTAGTCAGCGTTTTTCTCGCAAATAGGAAATATTAGAAAAAGAAATGAAATAGAAACAAGTAGTACGGTTTTTCGTAAGCAACCTAATGGCGTCTGTAATTTTGTTTGTGTTTGCACTATTTCTTTTAGAAGTGATGATGACTTTCAATTCTAAAAAAATAATGCAAACACACAAATATTACATACGCGATTACGTTGCTTGTAAAAAGCTGTACTACTTTCTCCTCTTTCGTTTCTTTCTGGTATTTACTATATGCAAGAAAAACGCTGAGTATTAATACCGTGAACACCCTGGTGTAGTGTAGACGCAGCTTAACGATGAAATTAGCTGCGCGCGCGAGCACACGTATACACGCGCTCACCGTATTTCGCCGAGGCATAAATAAAGCCGTATAGCGGATTATAAAAATCACCAAGTGTGCATGTAAAGAGTAGATATATTTCACCGTTGAACCACCGCTTCATTGCCCGTGAATTCACTAATGCGTAAACGATCGTGTTATTTGCAGTTTTTTGTAAGACTCGATCATATCCGCAAGTGCTTTACTCAGAAGGATGGGATCTTTGTATTGGAAGAATTCAGTGAGTAATCAACACGGTTGTCGCCTTTATCAACCACGTAAATACAATGTTTTTGTGTTCGAGCCGTGGCGTGACTTCAAATTTTTATATAGATTAATTTACCGAATTGAAATTATCTTCATAACAGTTATTCAGAATAAAGGTATTCTCCATAACTGTTTCAAGAACAGAGATCGATTTCATAACAGTTTTCAGAGACGATGCAGCGTAGACACGGAAAATACAAAATTATTTTTCCGAATCATTTAATCACACAGATGACCTTCTCTTTTTCGTTTTAACCCTTACGGTACATGGACCGTCAATACGCCATTTGTTTTTTCGTCATTTTCAAAAGGCGATAGCAGATTTTTCGTTTATCTTTTAATTTAATGATTTTCGATATTCACTAATAGATATTTAGGGTGAAACAGAACTTATAAAGTGAAAAAAAAAAGAATTAGAAAAATAGGGGATTCCATGTCCTTGAGGAAATGAAAAACAGAATAAAATGAATAAACTGGAGTTTCACAATTTTCGTTGGAACGGATCTAGATTACACTTTAAACGAGGATAAGTTTTGGAAAAGGAGGATGAAATTCGTTTATTTTTCACGTGTCTACGTAGCATCGCTCCGATAAAGCCGAAAGTATACACTGACAGAATTTTCTTACGTTTCAGATCCAAAAACTAGACAAGTAGTTCAACGTAAATATAAGTCTCAAATGGTAAGTTCTATCGATTCTCCAAAGTGAACTAATTAGAAAAAGTTGTTTTTCGATTCGTCTGTGATATTCATTCCTTTATCTTTTTTTTTTATTATTTCTATTTGGAATCATATTTTGTTCGTGTACCTAATTACTTTGTAGAAGATTGATGTCTCTTGTTGATTTAAACAATTAATTTTAATGTTCTCGAATACTGTGTAACAGGCCAACGAACTATGCCACTGCATGCACAGAGTATTCTCTGTTGCGTTTACGTTATCCGAACTCTCGTCTGAGGTTCAAGTCAACCCCGAGATCGACAATGCATGAAGGTTTAGTTATGATTTTGTTGTTTTTTCTAACCAGTAACCGTAAGTTTCATTTCTTTATTTTTCACTGTTCCGACTCTATTCTCCCTTTAAATCCAAGGATATGCAATTTAGTGATGTAAAAAATCATAGAAGGCTAATTAGTTAAACTGATAAGACTCACAAAAATAATTAGAAAAACGTCCAGTCTTTACGATTCATTACCACAATTAGACATTCATTTATCTCTATTTTTGTGTACGCTTGTTTGTCTGTTTTTCCTTAGATATATTTTACAAATACTTTATTTTTGCGATTGTTATACCTCTATACGATATTCTTTTTTCAAATCAAAATTATCTTTTTTGCTCGGGCACTTTGCTTTTAGAATTGTATTTCAAGCAGTTTTAGTACCGCGCTATCTTAATGGCAAAAAGTATCGGCTTATCCTCAAACATTCGGTAAAAGTTACGTTTAGGGGATGAAGCTTCGATGACCTTCACTTCACCTTGACATATGTTGTTAAGGACACTCCTCTGCGTAACTCCTAAGAAGCTTCACCTGTCGCTGATTTTTTTATGAACAAGTTACTAGCAACAAAAAATTTGCAACTATATCTGTTATTCAGTATGATGCTTCAGAGGTGGTTAGCGACAGTTCAAAAAAAAGGTATCACTGTTCTCTTAAGAACTTTTTAATAAACATTTGATAACTGAAAGTTTTTGAAGGTCACTCAGAAGGGTGACCTTGGCAACATATGTCAAGGTCAAGGTCGTAAACGTAATCTTTACCGAATTTTCTTTTATCATGGTAAGAAAAACACACCGTTCAACAAATACTCCTGAAACAAACTAATAATCTTTCAAATAAATTACAGGCAGATCAAATCTGTTACTCGGTACTCTGTGTGTTCTCTTACTTGGCTGCCGGGTTGGAGCAACGAAAGCAGCCTAACCAGTTACCACAACCTCCGCAACCACCTCAACAGCAACAACAACAACAACAACAACAACAACAACAACAACAACAACAACAACAACAACAACACCAGTCACAACAACAGCAACAACAACGTCATCAGTCGCAACAGAAACAACATCAACATACACAGCCTCAACAACGTTCCCAGTATCAAGCTCATCAGCAACGTCAACAGACGACGCAACAACAACAACAACAAAATTCAGGTAGCAACACAACAGCCGCGGCGAATCACCAGGGCCAGAAAACCGCGCACTTCGAGCCCTATCCACGGCAACACTGACACAGAGGCAGACACTCGCTCCCATTTGTGCATAATTACAATAAGTGTGCCCCCTACGCTTGCCTACCCTGGGTGTAATAAAAACAAAACATCTGTCCCCCTAATAAACTTCGCCTAGTTACCCCGCATGGCAGACGCAAGGAACTGGTTTTCCAAAAAAAAAAAAAAACCACGAATATTCGGAATTCGCTCATGAACACTCTCTGCCCCCTCCCCCACCCTTCACCCTCTTCGCCCGTGTGTATCATCCTCGCGCTATCCCAGACAGACCTGGGCAAATTTTATTCGAAACGAAAATAAGAAAACACTATTTGAAATCATTTCTTTCGAAACTTTATTTTCAATGCTGTTATTTGAAAATAAAAATATTATCGATTCTTGTGAAATAATAGCAATTTCAGGTATTGAATTAACTTGTTGTTTTTGTATTTCGAATTTGGCAAAAGAAATAATATGGAAAATAATATGCAGCAGAATGATTTTATTTTAAGGAATCTTTACGGCAATTTCCTTTAAGCAGAACTCTTCAAAAACTCATCCGCGAGGGATTTTTGCTTGAACCGATCTAATATTGTCGTGAAAGAAAATAATCGTTCCACTTGGTGTGGAAGATGGAAGAGGGGTGTTGCTCGTCAGAAAAATGTTAATAAACCAATCTCGGATCTAGTCACCTGATATAATTTCAGAGAACAATTTCACAATTCTTTCTAAAAATTATGTCAAATTATTAGAAAATAAAATAACATGTTATTTGAAATAATATTTCAAATGATATCATTTCTGAAGTGCCCAGGTCTGATCCCAGAGAGCCAGCTCGAAAATCTCTTCTATGTGTGAAACGGGAAAAGCATTGAAAAAAAAAACAGAAAACAAAAGCTGTTCGTCCTCCACTCGAGAGAAGGTGAATAATACACCATATGAGAGTGAGCTGAGAGATTTGTGAGACCACGGGACTCGTGGCGAGCTGTAGGAGTAGGAAATCGAGAAACAGAAGGTGGCCGGGCGTGACCGTGGTATTAAACGAACATTTAAAAATAGCAAGGTGACCTTGAGTTTTTTCAAAGTCAACGCATCTTTTTTTTAAATATCATCGTGCTATAGGTCGTTGAATTCGTCCTTCTATTAGCGACAACATAGTATTAAAAAAGGTGCATTGACCTTGAAAAAACTCAAGGTCACCTTGATATCTCCAAGGAAAATAAGATATAAAAAAATCAAATTGTATACATCTGATACATCTCTTAAAATGCTACATAATTCATTAATCGCCTTCAATTCTAAAGTAATTCTCTAAGGTTCCAAATTTAATCCTCTCGAGCTCAAAAGTACAATTCAACCTCAAAGAATCGTCCTTCTACAATATCTGTTGCGAGTCACGCCCCCACCCGACGCAAATTGAACGCCCAAATTGGAAGAAGAAAACCTGCGCGGCAAAAAAGAAAACGGCAGACAAACGAAAACTGAAATTTGGCGAATCGGTTCAGACACAGTCGTGGTAATTATTTGCAAAACGGGAGTCGTAACGTGTGTGCAATAAGAAAAACAGAGAAACAGACGAAGATCAATGAACAATTAAAAAAAGAAACAATATATAAACACGAGATAATAAAAACAAGAAACGGCAATGTTAATATTCTTGCACGGATGCTAACAGCAGCTATTGTACAATTTTAGAGAACAAAAAAAAACAGATTTTCGAGTGGCATATCTACAGACTTCTGTATGTATACATAGTAGACTGCTGACTTCCTTGTGCGTATATCGCTTATATAAAATTTACCCAAAAAGCATTTACAAAAGTATCTCATTCTGCACAAGCGCAGAAGCAATGAATATTATTTATGATTAGTTAGTAAAGGTTAATAAGGTTATCATTATAACTATACATTATTGTTTTACATTCCTGTAAATATTTTTTTATGGATACTTCAGTACAGTGGACTCTCACTATATTGCCACTAAACATATTGCCACGCGAGGCACTTCCCCCTTCACACACTTTGCAGAATGAGATACTTTTGTACATGCTTTTTGGGTACATTTTATATTGGAAGTAGTAGTCTACTGTATATATGTATATAGAAATTTGTGGGTAATATCGTAGGAAATTCCGATCCGAATCGTCGTGCGTACGTTCTCTAGAGATTTTTCATTCTTCGGTAATGTCAGTCGTGTGTCACATGTAGAGACGATGTTGTGACCGTTATATAAAAACTGTTCTAACCCCAAATTGTACTCATCCCCCATTTCCCCTCGTCCGAGAAATTTTTGCTTTCTTCGAAAGGATCTTCGCCACCCCCACGTTCCGCAACCTCCCCCTTCCCTCGACGAACAAAACGAAAAGACGGAAAAGAAGAAGAAAAAGAACAATCGATTGAATCTCCTGAGGAGGAGACGAGGCCCGCGAGAGATCGAGTCTATATTGCGTCTGAGGTGTTTTCTATGAATAGCAAGTAAAGCAATTCTGAGATACAATAATAAATAAAATAAAAAAAAAAAAGAAAGAAAATATCGCATGATCGGAGAGGAACAATTTTGTATAAAGTACATCGAAACAAAACTGTAACTGTGATCGTCTAATTTTGAGGGAGAAGAAAACGCTATTTAATTTTCTTACGGTCGCATGTGAAATATTATAGCCGATTGTATATTGAATAGGACCGATGCAATAGACACATTCTGCTTGATCTATGGTTTCGTATCTTTTTTTATGATGTTGTTGCGCGTAAGAAGGTTTTTATTAGAGTACCGAGGATTGTTAAATGAAATTGGCAGATTTCTGTTCGTGATTTGTCATTAGGATTTAATATAATAACCGTACTGTTATCTGTTAGTCCCTTTAGTTCAGCGTTGTCTCTGACTTTACAATGATAAATTTAACGAGTCAAGCTTCTAACGACTCGGTGAACGCAATAAATATTATTAATTATTGTTCATTTCCCAACATTTATTAATATATTCTGCTAGAGACAAGAAATGTTCAGAACGAAACGGGAACGATTAGAACAGCATTACGGAATTTTCAGTTCGTTATTTCGATAAACGGAGATGATAATATTATTAATAATACGATTTATGCAACACTATGGAACAAAGAAACAGTAAAGGAAAAGACGAGAATAAAGATGAAAGAATTAAGATAAGTGATTGACAATTGGAAAACAGATACGATGGAAATTTCATTTAAATTGTTATTTAGTAGTAAAGAATGTATTGAAAAGAATTCCTCGAGGCTGACGCCGGAGTTTCTTTTTTTTATCAAAGTATCGAAAGATACGAGGAATGAGTCGTGTTAAGTAACGAGTCGCGATACTATGTATATTTTAAGTACCGAGACTAATGTAAAAATCAATGTATATTTGTGATTTCTTGCAGTACACGGAACAGTCATTTGTTTTTCCTTGAAACGCAATTTTTTATTTTTGAATACGAAACACTCGAGGCATCGCGGCGGGAATTTTAAAATAGAGAAGACATTAACATCTCCGTTGTTTCGCCTGTTTGTTAATTTAATTTCAAGAAAACTAGACCTGGATAATCCATCAGATATTCGATGAATATTAATTATATTCAATGACTATTTAATTTGATATATCAAAGTGCAGGTAATTTTTTGAATTTGTTAAATATCATTCCGTTACTACAAAAACGAATATTATAAAGTTTTAACAAACCAACCGACGATCTCAAACTTACGACAGTCTGTATAAATTATTCGTTTTGTTTAGACGCCACTGAATAGAAGAAGACAGTGCACGATCGCTACGATGATGAATTCCATGAGTTTCTTCGATATCACGTTTATTTTTTATTTCTACTATTTAACGTTTATTTAAATTAATACACGTGCACGGAATCTACTGTTCGGTAGTGGATATGGTAAACAATTCCTATTATAAGTATTAGACTTCTTTTTCTATAATAGTTTTCGTCTGTGATCACCAATTTCCTAGACATAAATTAGATTTCTAATTACTGGACCGCGGACGATTGCGAAAATTTGCAATTTTCATTTTTTCGACTGATTCGCAGAAACGTGCTTCGAATAGATAATAAATTGTCGCGATTAAGTGTTTCGTTAGGCTAGAAATAGAATAAACGTTTTGTTGAAACGTTATTGTTAATCGTTAGATTTATCGTGTTTTCTTTTTTTTTTTTAAGGTGTGAACGCATTAAATCCGCAGTCTACTAATTACGTTTAAGTTCGACTTTTCGGGTGTGTACGATAATTTCGATTAGTTACACGAATACATAGAGATAATTATCGTTTGTACACGCAGTGGAAAGAAGATAAGAGGATAACCGTATAAATATATTTTCGCCGCGACACTAATCGATAACGAGAGATATGGCTATGAAAAAAAAAAAAAAAAGAAATGAAAAGAAAAAAAAACGATTTATAAGGGGATACCGTAGGATTTATTAGATAATCGTCGACAAATTAATCGTAGAAAACGTATTCGACGCTCCGCCGTTTGTAATTAAGAGAAAGAGAGAAAGAGAGTGAAAAAGAGAGAGAAAAAGAGCGAACAACTGTTGTGGGCGACCACGTTAAACCGAGGGGGGGCCGATTCTGTCTCGTCTTCGGAAGTTCCATGATTAATAATAATACCTCTTTGACTTCTGAGACTCTCTTTTAACGCCTAACCGCCCCGACTCTTTAGCAGTTCCTGTTTAGCGCTTGGACAATGTTTTAGAGAAAGCCATTGTCGTTCGACGAGACCACAAACAGTCTCGAAAAACTACCTGTTTAGAGTTCCACTGGATCAGGCCCCGATACATTCAAAGTGTATAAGCACATACTCAGCAATGTAGGCCGCCTTATATCCAATAAACACTTGTAGATTTGACAACTGTGTTGTTTTGTATGTATATTACCCTCTACTCAATGTTTGCAGAACCGCGCGTTTAGTCCTTTAATTGAACGTGAAAGATCGACTTCGATCGAATGCGAAACACTGGGATCTTCGATTGAGTATGAAGCATTGACCTCGGTTAAGTGAAGCATTGACCTCGGTTAAGTGAAGCACTGACCTCGATTAATCGTGAAATACTAACCTCGGTTAAATGTGAAATACTGACCACGGTTAAGTATGAAATACTGATCATGATTAAGTGTGAAATACTAACCACGATTAAGTGTGAAATATTGACCTCGGTTAAGTGAAGCACTGACCGCGGTTAATTGTGAAATATTGGCCTCGGTTAAGTGTGAATTACCAATCTCGGTTAAGAAGTTTGCTTCATTAAATAAAATGATAACATTAATAATAATACGTCAAATATTACAGCCAAAACAGCGTCCTAAACTACAACAGAAAATATTCCTGCATAATACATTTTATTTTATACCATCGCCCACTAAAGAACGTATTGTGCCATCGTCGTTAAGTCTGCACCGTGACACATTTTACATCCCTTTAGACGAAAGTGTCATGGTGGAGACAACATAATATGCAGACATTCAGAGGCTTCTCAATTAGCATCCTACGAGGAGTAGGTACCGTGCACAGCGTTGCAGTTGCAGTTCTGAGTCGAAAGTGCATCGATCGTGTCTTATTAGACGTTTCCGAGCGATATTTTTACAAAAAAACCGAATCATATAAAGACCAAATGAGATATAAATCAAAATACATATATATAATCTTCTGACCGAGGACTAAAGAGAGAAGTAATAACAGAAATTACAGAGGTGTGCGAATTGTTAAGATTAAATTGTTTTATTTTAAGCCCCAATTAAAAATGTTCAAGTTTCTAACGTTACGCTACACGAAACGCGAATAATTCCTTTTTACTTTGACGCAAATCAGATTACTAATCGAGATTAATAATTGAGAGGGGTCTGTACTAGGTTCGACAATATTTACAAAATTTTGTGATAATAACTTCGAATTTCTTTTTCTCGGATCTTTAGCTGTCTATTCATCCCGAAAATATTTTTTTTAAAAATCATATCTGTGTTACTGCCATGATCTTATAATAGTAGAATGCTAGAAAATTATTACACGAACCGTATCTTTGTAAGGTGTATATTTAGTTTTGATTCTCACTGTATATCAAGAGATCACCGCGAACAACAATCAATTGTCGAGGACGTGTCGATCCGAAGGCTAGGTACGGGTTTACCGCGACACGCTATCGGATTTCCTGTCGGACCAGTCCGATGATTTTTCAGCGACGTCGTAGGTTTTACTTTTTTCACCTATTCGGTTTCCAGACTTATAAGCGCGACCTTATTACTTACATACCGAGTGTCACGTCGAACAGTCGCGGATACAAGACGCGAATATTATCGCCAGGGATGGATCGATGGACGGATAAAGTGGCGGTGGTGACAGGCGCCAGCGCTGGGATTGGGGCGGCCATTGTTAAGCAATTGGTCCGAAAAGGTGAGTAAATCGATGTTTAATTAATTCCGTCTAGGGAATATAGCCAGGTGATGATAAAAAAAAAAAGTGTTCCAAAAAAAATGTGTACCAAATTCGAGATGCAGTAAACAGTAGAAAATAATTTCTATTTTTATTATTTTTACAGAAAACATATATATATTATTGTATTTTTAATTTAGCAACGTCTCCAAAAGTATTACAAGAGAAAATAAGTTTTTTTAACAAATAGAGATTATTTTCTACTTTGTAACTCATGTCGAAGGAAAAATAAGACCAAAATCAAGAGTAACAAAATTGCCACAAATGCTTCGTTTGTTAATTATAAGCGTTTAAAAATACCCCTAAATGATGGCAATCTGCACGGCACGGACTGTCAGCGAGAGTAAAGCTGGTAAAGGGGCGTGTAGTCGCTCTAAACTCTAAAGACTCAACGACATGCAGGAAAAATAGGTAAAAAAAATCTACTTACCAGGTAGAAAATGTCAGTAACTTGTGACGGCGGTATTTGATTCGAATCCACTTGAAAATTCGCAAGGAAATGTAATTACCTTCTGACAAATATCGTGTATGGATGGTTAATGCCCCCTCTGGTTGTCACGTACAGCGATTGTCCTGTCCACGAGTCTCCAAGAAATTACTCCACACATGCACGTACACCACAGAAGCCACGAAAAATGTCCACACACACTGCGATTGTCCCGACCGCGAAAAATGTTCACACACTGCGCGACTAATTAGACTCGCGCTCGGTTCTTCCGTTACATTTACCACTGCTATACGATTTTTGTCTACGACTTCACTTTCAAGAATTACATTATCGTTAATATTTACCCAGATACAAAAGGACTTCTATTCTTATGGAAAGTGTTACATTTATTCTAAACTTTACATGTTAATACCAACGAACGTGTATTTCACGTCGACTCGAAGAAAACGAATAATATACATGTTTACTGAACTCAGTTTGAAGTCGTTATCACGTGTCTGAATCGATGTTGTAAAGCAAGGGGGTTAAATTGGTAAATATGATAAAAAGTAAAAAGGAAAATTCGGAAAAATAGAAGGAACTGAAAAAAAAGGAAAATTAGAAAAACAACGAAATGATTTTGTTTGTTCTTGCAAGGCATGGTGGTGGCTGGGCTGGCTCGAAGGGTGGACAAAGTCAAAGAACTTGCGGACACCCTCGAGTGAGCGTCGTTTCCGCTTTCGCGTGGGTCCAGGAAAATCTTGGATCCGTGAGCGTGCTGGTGAACAACGCTGGAATCACGAAAGAATCCTCGCTGATAGGTGACGATCCTCTTTATAAAATACCACGTTAAACGTTACCCAAGTAAGGTGTTACCGAATGTTTACTTGAGTTTAATAATAAAATAAAGATTTCAACAATCACCGATTTCAATATGCAACTTTCGTTGGAAAGTAGTACGTCTGAAAAAAATGTATGACACGTACGTATTTTTTATTTACCATCGTCCATTTCGAAGTAGTAAAAACAGTCCTCGAAGTTAGGGGTGCGAAATATATATAGTGTCATACATTCTCGCGTACAATAATCCGTTGAATTATCTAGAAGGCAATCTGGAGGACTGGCGAGCCGTCTTCGAGGTGAACGTACTCGGCCTGTGTCTTTGTACGCGGGAAGCCGTTCGAATGATGAGGGAGGCTGGCGGAGAGGGTGTCGTGATCAACGTGAACAGTCTTGCGGGCGAACGGGTGCCATTCATTCCTGGATTTTCCGTTTATCCCGCCTCGAAGAGATCCATCGTTGCCCTGGCTCAGACTCTACGTCACGAGCTCACGGGAACACGAATACGCGTCACGGTAACGAACGATTTAACGACTAGAACTACCAAGCAAGTCAAAATGACTTGTCAATAGACTCTTACAACGACGATTAAAATGTTATAACAATACATTTTCTCAGATCTATTGAAACTTTTATTACGATATGAAAGTGAAGAAATTAGTCGATTTCTAATTTTTCTAAAGTTAAAGGGTTAAATCACTCGCGTGTTTCATCGCGTCCGCAGGGTATAAGTCCAGGGCTGGTCGCCACGGAGCTGATGGTGTCCTACAGCACGTATTCCGAGGAAGCATTAGCATCGTTTCCGACACTGGACCCAGATGACGTGGCTGCTGCAGCAGTTTACATTTTGTCATCTGGCCCACACGTTGTAGTGAGTAACGATTCCTAATTACACCTACGAACCTGGCACACATTCTTCGTAAAAGAACCACACAAATAACACATGACGCCTTGAAGACTGCTTAAATACGTCTGAAACCTAAAAGCCGTAAAATGGACGTCTTCAAGACGTCATGTGCTATCTGGGCGTCGTCCATAATTTGGTATGTAGTAACAAAACGATAAGAGACTGATACAGATTAATGATAGAGACTGATATTAAATATTACACTTCCGAGACCGATAGAACAATAAAACTGACGGCAGATATTTCGACAGTATGACAGAAACGCTAAAGAACACCAAAGCAAAAGAGACATACTGTCTCTGTTAATGGGAAAACAAAAATGATATGTGAATTTTGTTACATCTGTGATTGCGCATTTTTATGCAAAATTACCCTTAAACCCCACCCCGTTCACATGTCCAAAGATCTCATACGAATTTAATCTCAAATTCTAGGTACAAGACATCGTCCTGCGGCCACTCGGTGAATCCTGGTAGTGAACTTACTCTATCCAGAGCTGTACTCTACATACTTGCACTGTTATTACTGTTTTGTCCTTAATGATTATCACGAAACTGCAGACGTTTATGCAAATACAGGTTTTTTCTAGGTTAATTCGTCGGAATCGAACAAAAACGTATTTACTTTGCATAGTATCCTACTAGATTCCAGATCAAATAAAAAGCTCGATAAATTCTATATCAAACCCTTAAGACTAAAACTACCAAACTCATTAAAGTAACGGAAATGCAGATTTCTTATTTTACGATTATCGAAATTCGAATAGTGATGTTAGTGGAATTTATTTTGGCTTCTTAATTTACCATACATTTTACGTTATACTATATTATGCTAAATTGTACTATACAGAAAAAAAAAAAATCTTATTAAACTTCATCGATCCCTTATGGGGTTAGCCCACTTTGCATCCGAAAAATAAAAGCTATCCATTAGCAACTTTTTGAACGTGAAAAACAATAATTTGTTAGATGAGACATTTTAATCAAGGAGGGCAGAATAGGTAGGCTGAAGTTTGCAAAGCAAGCTCGGCTCTTTATCGCTTTCCTAACCGCAACATGCTTCACCTATATATATATATTGTTATGTTGTTCCATCGGACAATATGTTTTTCTCGATAGATACGTCGCCGATATGTCGTGACGTAACCTATCGCTCGTGTTTTTTCGCTCGACGGAAATAGCATGCGTCTCGGCCCCGAAACGATTCACCAAAGCTAATTCCCGCGATGGAGATATTCGAACTGATCGAAAAGAGGAGGGCCTTCGCGCCACCGGAGCTGCGTTACAAGAATCCTTATCAGGAAGCAATTAAAGTGAGCTTCGAACATGTACATATGAAGAGCTCAGAATCCAATCAGTGTATAGATAATTGTGTAGAAATGTAAAAAGTAAAATTTTGCTATTAACAAATAAAAAAAATTATTTATATGTACAGGATGCATACATATGAAACTGGATGCATATAAAGTAAATAATAAGTGTATTTACACCGGATAAATCATTGTTAATGAAACAGTGACTTACATTGATGGACTTCTGAACCCTCTATTATAATGTATGTTGGTAGACAAGATACAGAAAGCTTCCACAGTCCCTGGCCAAAAAGTTAGGGCCAACCATGATTTTCCAAATTTAAACGTTGAATTAGAAGCTCACCGTAGTGCATTAATTATATTATGTATAGTTGCGGAAATTGTGGTCCTATTACAAGACGCTCAGTAAGAGCGAGGAGATGCGCGAGGCGAAACGCTACTACAAGCAAGCCTCGAAACTGATCGAGAACGCAGAGCCGTCGAGAAACGTGATCAAGATCATCGCGAAGGGGCTGTATTTTAATCCACGGTACCACGTGTTGTACGGTTTAAGAGGCGATGTATATTCAAGCAAAGGTATTACAGACTCCTCTCGATTATTGTCTGGCTAGTGCTACACGATTATTGTCCAGGTGTTATCCCCACCACTGAGGGGGCTTGGTGTAGAACCTGTCAAGCGCATACTTCGGACAAAAATCGAATTTACGAGGGTCTGAAGCATTTCTCCCTATAAGATTATTGTCCAGGTACAGATCCGTGTTCGGGAGAATAATTGAGAAATGTCTGTATTAATGAAACGGTCGAAAAAAAACAAGAACGAAAGTACTAGGATAGTCATAAATATTGGAAAATAGAAAGAAACTCTAACTAACGGAGGACACGACATGGGTAAAACTTGGTGAAAAAAAATATAGAGGACGATGTACCCCAGTAAATCCTAGAGTATTAAAAAAAATTACTGTGAACGTTAAATGATTCGACCACTGTCACATCTTAACAGATTTAACACTGAACAGTGTTTTTCTGTGTGACATATGTGTTTAACACTATTTTTTTTTTGTTAAATTGTTCAGGTACATTGTCCTTTAATTCTGGCATCAGGTTAAAAAAGAAACCTTCGACTAAGTTGTTTATCAGCTTGGCTTGCTCGTTTATCAAAATGGCCGCTTAACCTGCATATTACGCCGTTTGAAAGCACATTCTTGAATGTAATCGACAGTGTTTCACCGACAAACACGCGTTAGGAGGGCCCGATAATATTCTTATCGAGGGTACAACTAACAAGTTGTAACCATTTAAGGAGATTGGTCGAAAGCTATAAACAGCTACGAGGCCGCCAAATTGACGACGAAGTTCGACTTCAGCCTGGGGGAGCGAGCGACGAGAATCCTGTATAACGCGAAGCTGATTGAATGTTACTCAAAAAGGGGAGATCAGCACTACGAAAACACGAGGCTGATTGAGGCTATGGGCGATTACGAGCAAGCTTTACATCTCGAATCGCCGACCCCAATTGCGGTGAACATACAAGTAAGAGGGTACACCGATAGGTATTTCGATAGAAATGGCTGCCGCTTCCAAATCATCGAAAGTTCGAGACCCCAAATTAAATCAAACGAATTGTATCTAATACGGTACCGATTCCACACAGATAGGATAAATTCTTCGAGATCTTGAAGACGTTAGACAAATACGAATTGTTTCAATCTACCTTCAAGACTACCCCCATTTCTCTCGAAAGTTCGAGGCTCGAATGAAATTAAATGAAATTTTGATCTAATATGGACACCTTTCTACACCGACAGGATAAGTTCTTAGAGATCTTGATGACGTTGGATAAGTACGAATTGTTTCAACATTACTGGGAATGGTTCGTAAGAGGCGCGAGAGACGAAAGATTGTCTAATCTCTTAACCGCATTAGCCGCGTACAAGATCCACCAGAGGGAAATGGCGGTGGGTAGACACGTGTTACTAGAGGCCCTACGTCTGAAAAAGGATAACGTTCGGGCCCAGGAATTATTGCAAGTTCGTACACCTTGTTTTCTAAATGAAATAAAAACTGATTGTCAAAAAAAAAAAACAAAAAAAAAGAAGAACTTAATTCTGTTTCATAACGGATGTAACTATTACCGATTTCTCGACCAGTCATTCCCCAACTTTTCTTTCGAATAATCGACGGCCCATTTCTTTTTTTTTTTTTCCTAATATTAATATGTTATATTGTTATACAGGTTGTATACAGAACTGGTCACATGATGACAGGTTACACGATAATATGGTGCCTGCACGGTTGCTACGACAAAGCCCTGATGACGATCGAGAAAGCGCTGGACTGCAACCCGTTCAATCCAGGATTCACGATGCTGAAGACGGTTATCCTCCGGCTGTCCGGCCGTTTGGACGAGGCCGTTTCATGGCTGGAGAGCGTCAGTCGGAATTTCTACAAGTTACTCGAACCGTCCGCGGACACCGAGCACTCGATCACCGGGAAACTGTCGATCAGCGAGACCCGTAACGAGATGATCAGGCAGTGGTATTTGACGAAGTAAGGGGTCCCACCGCTTCGACCAACCTCGATTAACTTTAATCAACGATTAAACTCATCGAATACCTTTCACCCCTGAACACCATTTACAGGTACAATAAGGCGTTGAAGAACATGGTAAAAGATCAACTGGAGACCGCGGCGCGTGTCATCTACGGGAACAAATTGACCGATTACTGCGCGGAATCGCACGTGTTGCTCGGCGATTGTTTCCTAAAACGCGGGAACGTCGATCTGGCGATGAAATCGTACCTGAAGTACCGTGAAACGTCACGGAAATTCGGTTCTCCGGTATCTGAAAAGCACGTCGAGGTGATGAAACGGATCGCCGATATCCTGAACGATCGCGCGGAGATCGCTTTGAGGCAAAGACGACCGAAGGAAGCGTTGAAACTGTCGGATCGTGTGCTTGGATTGCTGGACGAGGATCGAAACAACGTGTCTAAATTAGGCGTGCAGCGTGGCCGTGCGCTGCTGCACAAGACACGCGGGATCGTCCAGACGGAACGATTATCAAATCGTAAGGACAAACGTGGCTGCAAAATGGCGGCCGATAGCTTACGATTTATCCGTGAGCCCTGCGAGACGGGCCTGTACAGGACCCTCTACGGCGAGAAGTCGTTGGAAGACACTATCGATCGATTCGGCTCGAAACAAAAACTCCCTCGATCGCTGAAAATTCTTATGCAATACTCTTAACACATTGTATGCGGGACACGTGTTGGCACGTTTTTGGTGGACTGTCGATAGTCTGCGGAACACGTACCAGTACGTCTTTCATGTATTGTTTGAAATTAATCGTTACCATATACCATGAGACATTATTAAAATTTTCAATATAGAGACTCCTCTCGATTATCGTCCCGAACTCAGGTCCGGTCCAGGACAATAATCGTATAGGGAGAAATGCTTCAGACCCTCGTAAATTCGTGTTTTGTCCGACAGTTCTTTTGTTTAACAGGTTCTACGACTCCCCCCACCCCTCCCCAATAGTGGGGATAACGCCTGGACAATAATCGTGTAGAACATGCCAGACAATAATCGAGAGAAGTCTGCATATTGTTTCGTATAAAATATAACCTTATAAACCGATTTTTAAACCGAAAAATGTAATATTCAGTGTTTTTCATTGCTAACCTTAAAAAAATATCTGGTATTTATAAACAATGTATTTTAAGAGTAAGACAGCAAGGGTGTAGTAAAAAGAAAAAAAGATTAAATAAAAATTCACAGTAAATTAGTACTTAGAACGACTTCTTGAAATCCCTTGCAGACACAGCCAGGTCGCCAAAACTGACCCGCGCCAAGCCAGGTGAAACACGAAAGACAGCCCGTATACAATGTGTTACATAGGGCCCAAGTTACGCGGAAACGCTAGCACAACCCTGGATGATCTGAAACGAAGTCAAAGTTGAAGATTTATTTCTTGTTTTACATGTTTTTTTTTTAACAATTTAACACCCAGTGTAACGTATACGTCACATTTAGAAAATCATATTTCCAAGGGTTTCGCCCTGAAAATACAAATGAAGTGCAGAGCATCGGAGCCATTTTTGTGTTAACTACTGATCGGGATATAATTTTTGTCCCCGAAAGAAGTGTTTGGGTGTTAAAGGGTTAAAAATAAATTTCAAAAAAAGGTAAAAAATAGGTTAGTTTAATGTCGATATTTTGAACTTCAAAAAACTGTTGAAAAAAAATTTCCCGTAAGTTGGCCAGATTGTTAAACGATCCACTAGAAACAAAAGGCTGCGCGTTGCTTTCTGCGATACTCGACGTCAACACCTACAACATTTTTATTGTAACACCTCCCGGATACAAAATGCTCGAAAATAGCGTCTGACGCAACATTTGCAGCGTGTTACTCTCCCGAAGATACACTTGTATCGCTTTTTATCGTTGATTGTACCTCGCTGTAAACATACATATGCCACGCGAATGTTTTGTAATTATTATAATTACATTTCTCATCTAAACACAAAATTATTACTTGTTTTTATACAGATTTATGTTAAATACAGACTATAGAATTTCTAAATTGAAGACAAGAAAATTCTACAAATTGTACGTTTAAACAAACTGAATAAACGCTTATACGAATTATTCCTTTTGCAAAATCGAATGAAAAAGTGAACAGTTTTTATCATTTCAATATAGTCTCCATTCCTGAATCGATGTACACCGCGGACCGGAAGTGGGAAGTACTAGCTTCGAAAATTAAAGGAACCTGGAGCTTCTTCCTTCTTTCTTAAAATCTCCAAAACTTCGTTAATTTATGAATCTGCATTATTTCCAACAAGCTGTCCCTTTTACCTAACGCACCAGACATAGAAGCACCTTCTAATCTCCGGTAGTTCTAGCGTTTTAAATTCTTCTCCAAATAAAAACAAAACGTCATTCGCAAAGAAAAATATACGTTCGACAATAAATTGTCAAACAATTTTCAGACATATTCCACCTCGATTTCTGCACGGATCTTCTACCGAACACTATGTAAACAAGCATGATCGATCGAGGATTTATCGCGGAGAAGAATTCGTTGGCGAAAAAATAAAACAAAAACACGTTATTATCTGTAGATCCATTTCCCGACCGCGATGGGGACGTGCTCTCGGAGCGTGATTGTTTTTCAGAAAATAAAACTATGTATCGTTTAGCGTGTAAATAAACCACACGGATACGCCGGTGAAATATCTCCGGTCGTATGATACCGGGCGACCCCGTGCAATCTTGGGCCACAAACTAGCGACACCGGGTATAAAAAGCCGTTGTCGGAGCACCGAAACGCAGAGAAATTTTGTGACTCAACTCCCACGTTGTTCAGTCGTGTTTGCTAACCAGTACACCAGTGTGGAGAAAGCATTTCCTAGAATCGTCATGGATCCGAAATTCTGGACAGAGAAGATCGCCCTGATCACCGGCGCTAACTCCGGCATAGGGAAGAGCTTGGTGGAATGCTTGGTCGCCAGGGGCATGAAGGTCGTCGGCATTGCTCGGCGCATCGACAAGATCAAGGTAGGATTTAAGAGAAATTATATCCGTTAAAGAAATGCTGGAGCTCCGACATTAGCAGCAACTTCAATTCGGGGGTCTAACACCGGATAAGTTTAGTCCTCTTGAAAGGTCATAGTGGATTGATGAGAATTATTGAAATTATCCGTGTTATTCCTTGCTCTTCTGTGCGTGCAGTCTTCTTTATGTGATTCTTTGGTCGATCGAAACGTATTAGTAGAGTTTTTCCATTGAGAAATAAGCTCGTTTACCTTGATTGGGGTTGCAAAACCCTTTGTCTGTGGGCTGAAACGGTGGACGTCACGTTAGATTATGAAATTGATTATGCTTATGATGATAGACTGTTAGCTAGATGAACTGACCTGGTTGAAAGTGCAAGATCATGTTTTGAATTAGAATGTATTGGCAATAATCTGTGAAAAGACTAGTCCCTCCCTTGCGTTCCAAAGGAACTAGTAGAAGAGTCATGAAATAATGATAGAAAGTGCTTCTAACACTGGATAAATGGGGATAGTTATCGAAACGCCAGACAAGTTATGAACAACAGAAGATAGTGTTTCGATAAGTGTTTGACTAATGACGAAGATCGTTACGATAGACTGCAATAGACTCAAGGGAATTCACGTGTACGGCAATTTTTTATTTCAAGACTCTCGCTAATATATAACAAACGTTGCCTCGTCAGACTGAAAAGACTCGAGGAGAGATTCACTTGTGTGTCCTTTATTTCGAAGGCTCTTGCTGAGGAGTTGAAGTCGCAGCCCGGCAAGCTGTTCCCTCTCCAATGTGATCTGTCCAACCAAAACGACATCCTCCGTGTCTTGGAATGGATCGAGAAGAACTTGGGAGCCGTCGACATCCTGATCAACAACGCTGCGATCAACATCGATCTCACTCTGCAGACCGGTGAACTGGAGGACTGGAAGAAGGTCTTCGACGTGAACTTCTTGGGACTGACATGCATGACCAAGGAGATCTTGAAGCTGATGAAGAAGAAGGGTAAGCGTCTCCAGGAAATTCAATCTCTCGCCGAACACGATGCCCCCAAGTGTAAATAACTAAAAGGACAACAAACGTCTTACAGCGTTTAACATTTAACTTAATAGAACTACAAACTCCTCTCGATTATCGTCCGGCTTGTTCTACACGATTATTGTCCAAGCGTCGAAGCATTTCTCCCTACAAGATTATTGTCCCGACTTGGAGTCGAGTTCGGGACGATAACCGAAAGAATCCTGTATTAATGTAAAACAATTATATCCTCTGTGAATTGTGTCTTCGTACCATTGATCTTTCGAAATTGTTCGAGTGTTCCTAAACCACAGGATTAAAGTATGTAATTACAATGTGTTTACATTTAGGAATCGACACTGGCATGATCGTGAACGTCAACGATATCTGCGGACTGAAGGTTCCGATCTGCTGCGATCGCCCAGTGTCAGCAGCCTACATTGCCAGCAAGTTCGCTCTGACCGCTTTGACAGAGTGCCTTCGTTTGGAATTGGCGCAGCTTGAGTCGAACACCAAAGTTATCGTGAGTCTTCAATTTTATTCACTGTTTCGTATACAAGTCTTGACAGATCATCACACGATGACTTGTGACGCAAAGTAAGTCCTACGAGTCCATATAAAATCACGATGATCACAAGCCCCGTCCTTGTAATGTTGCAGTCCATTTCCCCTGGCTTGGTGGAGACCGAGATGACCACCCAATGGCTGAAGGAGAATCCACGCCTGGCGTTGAAACCCAAAGAAGTCGCTGACTGCATCTTGTTCGCCTTGCAGACCCCGGACACCGTGTTGATCAGGGAGCTCGTGGTCACGCCGATTCGCGAAACAATGTAAAACATGTGTGGAGTAACAGGTCATTTCCGGTTCCTTTTTGTTGTCCGGTTACCACAAAACATGTCGATCAACGCATTGTAAATACATATATAAAATAAAAAGCTTTGCAATATGTACAGTTGAACATTATTTAAAGAGATCATCTATGGAACTCCACGCGCATTAATTAATATCATTACACAACTTAGGATCTACTAGAAGACTGAAGCATAAATACAAAGATGTGCAAACTGTTAGATGACAAGCCACATAGGAGGAAAGAATTTGTAATCGTCTTTTCTCTTGTAACTGAAGTATCATTTACAGATTAAATACTAAGCATACATTCCACTGTTTTTAATTAATGAATTAATACAGGTTGGCACACTTTGCTGAAAGCTATAATTAACCTTCCACAAAACAGCTACTGATTAGGTGCAGTAAATACGGTTTTTTTTTCTATGATCATTTTTTAGCCATAATTGTTTTTTATACCTCTCAGCAGCAAAATGTGAATCGAATAATTTGCACACTTCTGTAATAAAATACACTGTTGCGCACGGTTCCAGTAGAGTAACGGCATTTTATTCACACATACATTGTATAACAGTAAAAAAGCTTTTTATAAAGTAAGAATGTAAGGTTTTCATTGGCGTTTAATATTGAAAATATCCAAATTTTAATTGCTAAGGAATGTAGTGGCTAATGGAAATGTTAAACTCTGGGCTACAAAAATTTTTAAAGGTAGTGTCTTACCTATATATGCTTTAATACACTTGCGAGAATCTGATACGAAACTAATTTTCTAAAATGCTTACTTCATTAGTCAGTTATGTATCCAAGACCAGTAGAAGCTCATTCTTCTCTTGATTCAATGGATTATCCAAATAGACTTACTAATAACAGAGGATTAATAATGTTACATTTCTTCTTTCTTTGTTTTGTGTTACTCACCTAATGGTACAGTAGACATCGGCAACAAATGTTGCAGAATTCCTATTACCTTGTATATTAACACCCATGTTTTCAGTAATCCGAGAAAATCATTTTCTGATATATTATGAATACTTCAATAAAAAGAAATATGTCTCAATCATATGATTGCAAAAAAATGATTTACTTTTGTTTAATGCTATTTCTGAAGTATTTTGAAGGATCAATTTAGGAGTAAAATGCTAAGAAAACAAAGCCTGCTTCTACAAGAAGAAAGTGAAGCTTTATTTAAGTATTTCCTTCTAGGATTCTTCAGAGAAAGTAAAACAACTGATATTAATGATGCAATCAAAAGAAAAATATTTTAGAATAATACACATTAGTTGAGGAAAGGAGTTCAGAACATCCAAAAACATATGAATATGACAATAAAACGTATTTTTTATTGCCTCTTCTTGAACAGACATCAACGACCAGGAGCTCTGTAATGTTTCTCTTATCGACGAAGAATAATAAAAAAAAAAAGAACGTAATGCCAAGATGTAACAATTAATGTTGCTATTTGAGGAAAAACTGGATACTATCGTGGATAGGTAAATGCTACTGGGGGACAGACATTCAATCTGCCAAAAAATATGAGCATTGTTTGAGGGCTCAAACGTATGTAAGCTGAACGTAAAGGACATGAATGATTAATTCAAAAACACTTAAATATCGTTCGAACAGACAGTATTACCACATCTGTTGTTACTTAAGTTAGTTTCTGGTGGATAATGGTTGTGGTGAAAATAAAAAAAAAAAGTGGACTTTTTAAGAGGGCGTACACTGTTTAGATGAAATGCATGCAGAAAATGTGTGGTATGTCGAAAGGGACGTCAGATATTAAACTTGATCAAATACCTTACAGCGAGTGATCGCATCCGTTTCGATCCGTGAAAAATGATATCCGACTATATCCGTATTGATCCCGCTAAGTGCAAGTCCAATTTCCGTATCCGACCTAGGCGAGAAATCCGTGACAACCTATATGAAGCATGAACGACGCCACGCTCATCTCGATCTGATCGATACACCTCGAGAATCCAAATCCATTTATATCCTGCATGAATCCTGCGTATCGTATATTCTCCGGTTAAAAGATCCAAGTGATCCGTTTAATACGATCCGGTGAATATTTCCAGCCAATTTATCCGTATCCAAAAATCCATCATGAACGCTAATTAATCCTGTCCAGCATCCTAATCCCACCGTTTTGCCGAATCCTGTCTTTCGTTTACTTTACGTTTTTTTTTATTTTATTTTTTTGTCCCGGGAGATCCTCTACAACTAGGGAGAGTTGTTCCTTGTTAAGATGAAGTATTCTGTCATATTTTTCCGACCCCAAACATTATTATCCTCTTGCGCGTTTTAGTCCCGACGACCAGCAGATATATGTAGTTCGTACTATTATACAGGCCACATGTGTACGTATATACAAATATATGTATTGAAACAATACATACGCTCACGATCGATCAATAATGCAATCCAAGATCGAAATTGCCAAGAGAAGAACATTCGGACACGAGTTGATCTCGAGTGGAATAAAGGTTATGTACGCCACACGTAAGAACACAGAAACGCGAGTTTCCTTATCGGGGGACCACCGCTTTTCCGTTCTCCTTGATCCTGAGGAATGCTAAACGTGGAACTTCTGATTATATATCGCCTACACCCAGACTCATTGCACGGGTCAACGAGGAACGAAGAAGATTTGTTGAAAGAATCGTTTTTCCCGTGCGCGTTGGACCGGTTCGTTTTCCGTGTTCATGTCATCGCGAGTCGTCGATCACTGTCGCCGATATAGATGAGAAGGTCTGATATACTTCCGGTAACGAACTTCGTCCGAAGAGAATCAGAGTTATTGTCTCAGTAACGATAAAATTAATCGATCTGATCCCGCGACACGTACGAAAGTATAAGCATAAATATGCTTGTAAAAACAAAATGCATAAGATTGACATTCGATTACTAGTTTTTACGGTTCAGAACGTAAGAGAAAAAATTACGAAAATCACTTGTTCAAAGCTTAGATGGCGCGAATACGAAACCACGTGACGCATCGAAGCTGTTCATTCCGCGTGTTCGTTAGGGTTCAATTTTCTTTGTTTAGTTCATCAACGTGAAAGCACTGCTACAGCAAAGAGAAAGCTATGATAAAATCGTTTCGAATCCTTGCAATGGATTCGCCAACGTTTTCTGATGAAAATCCAGCTAATTGAGAATCCTTGAATGAAATGGATCCTTTCTTTCATCCGATTCCTTTCCTTATCCCGAACTTCCTCTTGAAAGTATCCATACTGTTTCATTATTTTCATTCGTATTTTTACGTCTTAATCCTTTTATAATATATGCTCCATACAAAATCCATCCAAAACGCATTCCATCTCATCCCACCGTCAAGCGAATGTGTATTATATCCATCCAAGAAGCAAGATCGTGTCGATTTCAGTTTTTCATTCATTGTGTTATAATCCAATCCAATATACAAAAGAAGAAAAAATACATTAGTCCCTTATACAATATGCATTAATGTTATATATAAAATTTATCATTGCAAATGTAATGTCTGTGACTTGATGCTCAAACAATTAACAATTTTTGATAAATCAAAGGGATATTATGCAAAGAAACACTCTCTATGCTTGTCTAATATGATTTAGAATACTGAGCACAAGCTGAAATCACAGGATTAATTTGCAATAATAATAGTCTCAAGAATACACGAAATAATTGTTTTCCTTCACCACTTTTAAATGTATAATAGAGATTTTAAGAATGTGTATTTTCTGATATTGAACATGTGGGAAAAATGTATGATTTTTCAAAAGGAAAACGTTAAACGAGAAATGTGTGGCAGAAAGTATTTTGTCAGTGAATCATCTGATTGGTAAAAACACATTTCTCTAGATAAGTCGTGTATAACTTAAAATTTACTTCAATATGGACATTTCACCGATGTCCATATGATTGACAGATATGTTACTATATTCTTAACAACAATAATCTATATTAGATCTGTTCCGTTTAGAAGTAGTACATAGCACACAGTTTTTTCGTCAAACCAGAAGAGTGGCCCGATGATCGTCGTTAAAGAACATTTAAATACAGGAAATATAATTTGTAATTCGTTACTGAATCATGTGAACTATATGGATACATAATTAATGACAGCTGAAAAAGTTTTCTTTTCCAAAGCAAATTGGACATTAGAGTATTAATCATTTAGTAAAAAATAAATCTTTCACCTACATTTATCAAACGTTATGCCTTATATATACCATCATTCGATGGATACCGATGTATTACATTCTCTAAGTATTATATTTTCAGCACATGGAGTATGTCGTATTGTCATCATTATATAGTCAAAAGAAAATTACTTGAACTTTCGTGATAACTTAAACGACGGTGAGCCGTGTATACAATCTTGATGTATTTATTTGTACACACGAGTTATCTGTTAAAATTAATGCTTCGTGCAAGATATATATTTTTAATAGATTTACCAGAATCGTTTTTAGCATGAAATATATGTACAAGTGAAAGAAACTTTTTAATTGAACATCTAATGCAATGCTTTCATTATACTTATAGTGTTTTTTTTTGCCCTGCACATTATATATGCACTTTAAGAATATCTACTTATTTTGTTATAGTATTGTTTCTGTTTTTAACATATGCAGAATAATTTTGAGCAATCAACAATAAAAAATAATATGTTAGCTTCGTAAATGTTTATGATAAGCATTTTAGCATTAGAAGCTTAAAAAAATTTTACATGTTAAATATGCTTGAATATGTGCTGTCCTTATCACTGCAAGTGTGAATAAATAAATGTAAAACGACAATCAAAGGCTGTATTCACATTGAGTCAAGTACTGTGGTATATTTACCAATTATGATACTGTGCTGTGCGACAAGAATGATCGCGCATTAATTCATTAAATGAGAACAATCACCCTGAACATAAACAAAATTGGTAACTATACAACAAATAGTACTTAGCTGTGTGAACACTGATTAAATGATTGGTTATATTAGTTAATTCTTTTTAGGTTCTCATTCGTAATACTTCAAAATTGTTACACATTTCAAATGTAGTTGTGATGTCAAAATAAACTCCAAAATACAAAGGAATGTATTTTTTTTTAAACATAAAAGTAACTCTAATCAATATACCATCAACAATAATATGCAATTAATATGAGCACGATTCCTTTTTATTCAGGCAATGTGAATATGACATTAAAACTTTATACTAGTCTTTACTGTTAGAAAATCTAATCACTATTTCTGGGTTCATTCGAATAATTAAATTTCAACATATATTTATAAAATAAATTCGTAACTGAAAACAATTAAACGGAAAGAATGACAAAATCATTGGGAAGTAGTTTTGGTATATATAAAATGAACCGTGCTCTAACTATACATTACATACAATACAATTATTAAATCCAAGCAATGTGAATAATAATTTTTGAATGTGTACAAACTTGATTTGGATTGGAAGGTGTCTTAAAGTGAAATTCAAATCAGTAATAATGAAACATGGTAAAGCAAATATCGACAAGCCTTTACTTATATTACCATGTGAAACATATACGTACACACTAGTCGTATGAACGAGATCTGGAACGAGATCTTGATCGCGAGTAATTACGCCGTAATGGTGAATAGGTGGGTGAACCACGACGCCTAGGACTATAGCTTCGTGAGTGACTTCGTCCCCTCTCTCTATCTTCACTACGTCCCCTATCGCCACTGCTGTGATCTTCTTTCACTCGAATGTAGGCTACTTCACCCTACAAATAAAGATTACAAATATACAGGATATATATACAATGGCATGCAGTCTTCTTTATAATGTGACCATCTATCTATAGCTTACTTCGTGGGACCTAAATCTGGAATCATCTAATTTTTTCACAGCATATTTCATGTCTTCGTATCGTAAAAATTCAACAACCCCAGTGCCATCTTTATAAACATCAGCGAAGCACACATCACCAGCTTCACGCATATGATCCTTTAGATCTTGCCAACTACCAGATGGAGGTAGTCCAGTAACAAGAACTCTGTACTGAGATCTTCTTGCAGGTGGCCCACGACCTCGAGAATTACTCATTTCACCTCTACCACCTCTCCCACTATCACCAGCTCCACGGCCACCACGGAAATTATTACTAGGACCCCCTCCCCTTGGAAATTCAACCCTTAATCTGTAACCATCATAATCATATCCATCCCTTGCATGGACTGCATCTTCAGCATCTCTGAAAACAATACATTCCAAGAATTACATATATTATTTTATATATATTCTATACATGTTTATTTCAGATATGTAAATCCTTTGTTATTGTCTTAAAAAGTTACAATTAATTCTTGAATTAATTAATAGAAACTAAAATCACATTTGACCTATCAAATATATAAATGCAATTGAAAACATTATATTCAGGGTTTGTCTTGATGTACAAAATGGAAATATATACATTTCTAAATTGTAAACTCAAGGACACAATATTATGGAACGGACAGTCGTAACTACGCCACAACTTGTTTTCATAATTCCACACAAGACCCAGAAAGTTGTAAATCGTGTTATAAGAAACATTACGGAACATATTATATTGTAACATATACATATATAATCAATGCAGTAGTTCTTTCTAGATTCCAAAAAATATATAAATAAATATAAAATATAATTAACGACAATATTGGGGGTATACATGTCGAGAAACAAAAAGATATGGTAGACGACACGGAAAGTGCGTAATGCGTAATATACAGAAAAATCGCGAAATTCTGGTATAATCAAAATTTATGTTCGACGTACCTTGGATCGTCGAATTCGACGAAAGCGAACGGTGGACCTCTGCGATTTTTTAAATCAACAAAGATAACTTTACCGAACTTATAAAAAAGGTCTTGGATATCTTTGGTTCTTATATCGGGTGGTAAATTGCCCACGTAAATTCTACACTCATTCCTACCACCGTGAGACATGTTCTCAATTCTTATTGTTGTTTAATATATACCAAACACGAATAAAAGCACTTTAAAACAATTCTTACTCGTTCCTAAAATCTCACACTCTATCTATTGATGAAACAAACAAGATGGAGGTACCGGTCGAGGGGAAGCGTGATCACGAAAGGCACAGAAAGTCAAGAGCACTAAACGAACGTGAATGTACCTATCAGACATTTTGTGTAGGTAACGACCAATTATCTATCGTATCATACTTACATCCTTCTTTCCTTTGCCAATTAACAGTTTATATTCAAAAGACATAATTTGCTCGATTATATTAAATTTTTACAATTAATTTTTCATTTGATTAAGAATTTTGTGTACGATGCGGGCAATTCAAATTTAAAACATATTTTATTCTGTACGTCCTAGTGTTAATATATTTTTGAATCGATTTTATAATTTTAACTCATTGTAAAAGCTTGGTGTTTTTAATTTTTTGTAACAAAATAGAATAAATAAATAATTGAAAATAATGGATATTATATATTTGATTACTTGTTTTTCATTTTACGAACATCATATTAAATATTGACAACCATGTTGAAACCTGCGGAATTGATATTGTTTGTTAACAATTATCGGATGTGACGTTTTTAATTAATATTCAATTTTATAATACGTAACGATAAAATGGCCGAAAAAAACGAGTGGTTCCATCTACGGAAAACCGTCCAAACTTTTCACTAATTAATATCGAAACTTTGCCACTAGAAGATGCTGCAAGTAGTTTTGCAGTAGTTTCTATGGCTCATATATTGTCATAGTAAGCAATAGTTAGGTGTGGTTAGGTGGACAACAGTGGACAACTCTTTTAACTGTCGGCGTTTCAACGCAAAATGCATTTACAATAAAATTGTTAAATAAAAAGTGACATTACAGAAAACTTTTTTCGTTCATTTTTCTTGTCATCACACGATACAATAACATTTTCAAGATTGCTTTTACAGTTGCTCTTCAAGTATTTATGTCATTAATAGTTGAATAATACATTGGACTGTTTTACCGAAACAACGAATTTTTGTTTCACAATGTTCACTGACCGATCATTCGATTCTGTAAGCTTCGATTCACAAGTATCAACTCCAAAGTATGTTTTATGCCTTTTGTCACTAAGATCATTGTTATTGTTTGCCATTAATTATGAACATTTCTCAGATCGGAATTATCAACGACCGTGCAAACAACAGAAATTGTTTATAATGAGGACCCTGTACAAACAATCGAAAGAAGAAGTATTGAGGTATTTATAAATACACTGTTTTTCAATGATGTGTATTGGTGAAAATTGTTGGTGATCTGATGTCCTAATAACAAAAGAAATGATTGAAAAGCATTGTATATTTATGAGAATATGCATATATTGATAAAACTATTTCTCTTTATTAGACTCAAACCATTACCGAAGAGAAGAAAAACTTGAATGTTGACTATGATAAGTTGGCTGAATTTTTAAAGAGAGTCACGCCAAGTATATTGGAAGCTTTAGATGAGGCATATGGAACTGATGCTTTTGAAGATTATGATCCAAAGACCAGTGAAGATTCTTTCACAAATACCCAGCTTCTGCAAAAAATTAATAGTACTAATGAAACAGAGTCCCAAGTAGTTATTATTTTATTTCTAAGTTATAGATGTTTATGTAACATTAACGTGTGCTATGAGTGCATAAACATCTGTTCTTGCCCTCTTGCAAAACTTTATATTACTTAGGCATACTTTCAGATGAAAGTAAGCGATATATGTTGGAGTATTGGAGGAGGAACACTGGCTGTTTCCCATGGCATTCCTTACCATGATACATGGTGTGATCACCTGTCTAAAATACAATTGTACAACCAGACAAAGGATGGTATTTTCACAGACAGTCCAAATAAGATATTGGAAATAAATGCATGTGTGACAACATTAGCTTATCATCCAACTGAACCATCTATTTTAGCAGCTGGTTTATTTAATGGTAATTCAGAAACTTCTTAATATAAATATACATACTAATTAAATGTTCATATGATTATCATTCGATGAAGGTGATGTTCTTGTGTGGAACCTAAGGGATGATGTATGGGTAACATCAGTATCAGTTTGCACTCATGGGGATACTGTGTCTCAAGTGTACTGGAAAGAAAGAACATTGAATGATGTGTCCTTGCTAGTGAGTTCTAGCAAAGATGGATATATTTTTGTAGATAAAATGGTAGCTAACTTTACCATTGCTCACCCATATAAACGGTAACCATTCCCTTTAAAAATTACTAGTTTTGATAAGACTTTTTCTTATTATAATATTGTTTCAGATTAAAAGTAGCCAAAGAACATAATCCAATAGAAAATACAAGACCACGTAGCTCTGGTGGAACTCGTGAACGCGCAATTGAGTCCGGATTATGCATCACCGCATTTGATTTCTCATTCAAACATCCTGTATTCTTTATTGTTGGTACTCTGTGTGGTGGAATATACAAATGCAGTCTCGATCGCGTTGCTCCCATTGAAGGTTTGTATTTTAGTAATATCATTGCACTATTACAATATTAATAAATTTTTAATTGCAGGAAGTAACACTTTCATGGATCCTGTGATCGACGAATATGAGAGGCATGAAGGTAGTGTAACTTGCATTAAATTCTCCCCTATTCGTAACCTTTTCATCACTTCCGGTACAGATAAGGAAATGCGGATATATGATTTTGAAGAGGTAGAATTTTTGTCAATGAATTTTTGTCATTTGAAAGTTTTCAATTTTGAATAGATGTTTTAAAGTTAAAATAAAATAATTCTATTTATATTATTTAGCACACGTGTCTACGATCAATTTCTTTTGAAAACACAGTCGTAGGATTAACGTGGATGATTGGAAATCAAGATGTATTGGCAGCTTATGGAGCTGGTTCACAAATAAGGTTGTATAATGTCACTGATGGTAGACCTATAACCAGTGTCAAGTTTGAGGAATCTGATAGAGAAAATACAAGCTGTTTACGCGTCAACTCTAAAAAGTAAGTTGCATCATCGATGATGTGCATCACATTTTATCTAAATTTCTTTTCCAGAGACTTAGTGGCTATTGGTGATACTCAAGGAAATATAGAACTTTGGAAAGTTCCACGACAATTGCTTTAAATAAATTATAGAAAATATGCCTTATTAAACTCTGAAGTCATATTATAATTATACGCCGCTTTTTTACGATAAGCACGATGTAATAACTATATATTTATTAAATATATTACTTTTGTACAAATATGGTTGCGTCTCTAATTTCGTTTCGATAAATATAATACAAGCTAAAATTATACCCGGATATTAATAACATGTGAATTTTGGATCCAATATTTCGTTCTTGTGACTTAAATACTTATCTCTACTTTGGTGTACATATTTCACGATGCAAAAATAGCTGACCATGTTTATTACGAAAATGCACGCCAGAAGAATGCAGTGGCAAGAATAGAAGCAAAGAAAGAGTTACGTTCGCAGAATTGAATATTTTTGGACAAGATATTGAAGTAACGTTTAATTATTACGTACAATTTAGTCGAGTAAATGAAAGTTTAACAAGGCTTCATGGCGACCTCCTATTATGTTAAAATATAGAAATTCGAAAGATGAAACTTCTATGATAAATTAGATACAATAGGGTCCTATTCTTTTACAAAAATAAACATTTATTACTCTTTAATTGCAAATATACAAATACATTTATTATAATTTGATTTCTGGGGCTATGAAATTAGAAACGTTGAGCAAATGCTGCTATAATAAAATGACTAATCAATTTCACCCGTGTACAGTACAGTTATATTCGTTACGCTCTTTCTTTCAACTTTCGAGTCGTGACGTCTGATCTTTTTGATTAGTCACACTTCCACCACGTCATACACTTACGTGCATGAAATACACATAAAACACGTACATTGGACCCTTTTCTACAATATACAAAAATGAGTAGGTATCGAAAGAAACAGAGTGCAGTTGGAAATTACGAGATGTACGAAGCACTGGAAAAACAAATGTGGAGAACTTTTATGAAAGAAGTTCATTTCTTTCACAGTTTGTTCCCGTTACTATACTCTGCACCCAGTCAGTTTTCACCACATGTACGACGATCTTAATGTGGCTCACGACGCTAAAAATGAAAAAAAAAAACGGTTTAATATATGCAAAAATAATTTACTAAATTTATTCATTCACCAGGAACCATGTTTAATTTAGGGTATTTGATAATATATGCCTGTTTTTGTCAACAATAAATAGTGCAACACGAGTAAAAAAGTTAACTGATTTAGCACGCAGACAGCGCAACAATATCGCAAAACTTATCTGTTTCCTAGTTAAACGTGACGTGACATACTTTAAGCTTCCGGAACATTCTATACCGGATTTCATCAATGACCTCAAGTTTCTTTTAACGAATCATGTTAACGATGAATAATATTGGTACGATTAGATACCTACACGTAGACCCACGTCACCTACAGCATTTCCAAAGTAAAACAAAGAAAACATCTGTAAAAACGAAGGTGAAGTAAAAAAATTCCTTTTGCCTTTTATTATTTGATACTTTATGGGAATGGTAATTTTATTTATAACAAAGTTTAAATATTAATGATTTAGAATAATTCCCATCAATTTTTATGTGAAATTATATTAAGCAAAGGATCGTTAAGCGCATACTAGGCAGCACAATTATAAATGTTACTCATAATTAGACTGCAGGTGTTTATGCATTTATAACGTTTTTTAATTTAGCAAATGCAATAAAATAAACATATCAATGAAGTTTAATGCTATTTATGTGTCATTATTAATATATAAAACCTCTAGTATCGAATTAAAAATTATGCTCTATTTTAATTTTCATGTATAAATATCTAAAATTTTAATTTTGCACAAACTTCTGCAATGTACTCATAATTCAAAAAATATATTACACCACGTATAGATTCATAAATGTTATAAATGTATTAAACGATAAACTTTGTAGTCTCATTATAACAAAACAGTTTCTACTTTCATTTTAAAAAGTATACATACCTAATACAATGGCACATAAAATGTAATAATATCACAGCATATTAAAAAAAATGATATAGGACTTCGATTACAAATTTTGTCTTGAAAAAGGTAAAGTTGTTAATTAATTGATACTTCATGTCAGGACAATCTTCATTTTGTCCGCACAGAAGGCCAAGATTCACAGAATCGTGAAAGAAAATCCTAAGAAAGGTCAGCTCCAGCAAATTTTACTCTGAAAAGGACAATTCCAGTTGATACTTTCCTCTGAGGAAGATACCTTTCAGATTATCTTTAAATGGGACAGGTATCGTCGAATCCTTGGACAACAATTCTCAAAGTTTGGCCTAGATGGGCCAGTTTCAGGATGTTGTCCTGAAAAGGACAGATTCAGACGTTGTCCTGAAAAGGACAGATTCAAATGTTGTCCTGAAAAGGACAGATTCAGACGTTGTCCTGAAAAGGACAGATTCAAATGTTGTCCTGAAAAGGACAGATTCAGACGTTGTCCTGAAAAGGACAGATTCAAATGTTGTCCTGAAAAGGACAGATTCAGACGTTGTCCTGAAAAGGACAGATTCAAATGTTGTCCTGAAAAGGACAGTTTTTTTTTTCTATGTTATAGTGCGTCCAAGATGTTGCTGCTCCGTAGCTGACACATTTGCGGGCCCTAGGCAGGGCCCTAAAAAAAAGAGGGATAGTAAAGAGGAAAATGTGGACGGGAAATGCGTTGGGATGTCGAGACAACAGGAACTAAACTAAGAAGAAAAAGTTAAGAAAAAATATATATATATATATATACATATATATATATAGAAGAAGGATCGTCTGAATGCCAGGGAACGTTAAAAAATTTTTGTCTTCGTTCCTTCTTCCTTCATCTTCGTTTCGAGAAGTGAACTTCCCATCTGCGCTCGGTAAACATCAAAAGAAACATGAAATGCATGGTGTATCGTGTTACATCCGGCGTAACGGTGCCTTCCTTCTTCAATTGAACGTTTTCAGACGTTCCGTTACAGCGACAAGTAGACGCTTTCTCTTCGTTTCCATTTAATATTCTCTCGAAGATACTCCGGCACTTCTATCCATGATACGTGGTGACGTACAAGTAGTAGTAGATATGTGCGTCCAGCGTTCATTTTCGAATTTAGCTCACGCGACTCGCACAAAACGCGCGCACATCATCATCATCTTCTGTTTGACACGATTGTCATCGTGACCATTTTCGTTTCTTCTGTCACGCGTTATCTACATACGTGTGTATATGCGGGGACATGTATCTCTCTATTGCCCGTTTGTGTGTATGTATGTTTACGTGTATGTGTGTAGTTGTGCTGTACCCGAAATACTTATTTCTCTCCAAATACGTCAAATTCTGAGAAATACATACGTATATATGCACTCAGAGACCCATCACCGATGAGTCCTTTTTAAAAACCAAAAATCCTCGAAATATGCTTTTTCTGTCTCCAGACGGAAGAGGATCCCAGAAATCCGTTGTGTTCTCCTTCGTCTTCCCTCGGTCGGAAGCTCAGCTCTCCAGCAAACAACTATTGCACACCAACTCTCTCTTTCTCTCTCTCCATCGCTCTGGCATTTTTCTTTCTGTCTCTCACATCTTGTTCCTCGTTGTTCGTCTTTCTTGGACCGTTTTCTTACCGCATTCAGTCATCCTATCGCTCTTGCACACATACATACACTCTTCTCAAACTGATTGTATACACAGATTTTTTTTTTTTGGCGCTTTTTGTGTTCTCAAAAAGACATTTTTTTTTTCTTACTGATCGTTTTTTTTTAGAAATCCTCACACAACATTCGCTCCGATTTCGCTCGCAGATTCCCGACTTCAAAACAATCGAGGTCCATCGAACCAGACGACGTTCTTCATTTTTTTTTTCCCATCATCATACAATTTCGAGAGGTTCGCGGTTGATCCCTCGAATCTTTCTTCGCTTCCTTCTTCACCGTTAACGACCATCCTCTCCTCCTCTTCCAACGACATACTGTTCTGGCCCATTTCTCTTCATCCTCCTCGTCGGACACGCTCCGTATCCAATTTTTTTCTTGCAAAATTCGTGTACACATATCGCGTGGCGAACAGTACCAAAATTACGATATAAACTTCAGGTACAACCTTGGATACCTTTCTCCTCCCCTCGGCTACATTTTTTTTTACTGGCTCCAATTTAATTATCTCCTCTGTCGTATCCGGGACGATCTGTCTTGCGATCATCGCCATTTTCTCATTTATAAATCCGGTGTGCGCCGTGTGTGTAGCTGGGTTTCGTTCGCGGAAACTTTCGAGCATTTCCGTCATTGTCTAGTAGGAAGGGGGAAGCAAAAAAATCAACAGCGAAAAATGACTGTTCCACTGATCGAGCCTCGTAGTGTGGACGATTATTATAAATGTATCCCTCGAAAGTGGTCGAGTAATATTCAATCAAAGACATCGGCGATGACCTATTTCTCTCTCTCTCTCTCTCTCTCTCTCGTCATCCCATCTGATATACCTTCTTCCCCATGTCAGGGGTAACAACAAACATTATATTCACGTCGGACGCGCAAACACGAGAACGTTTGTTTCACCAAAGAAAACAACGGGATGCGCGTCGAAAGGTGGCCAATCGGTTGATCCCCAGACTTCCCACCGTCGATCGCGCGCGACATCGTTTTCAAGATCTCCCGTTATCCTCTCGTCTCTTTATCTCGGTTTCCCTTTATACAGTCTTCTTGGTCCTCGTATTTCGCTTCATCTTTTTTTTTTCGCTTTTTTTTTTGGTTCCTCTTTAAATATTCTCGAAGAAAAAATCCAACAGGAGTGTTGCGTCCAGTCAAGATTCTCTCTCTCTCTCTCTCTCTCTCTCTCTCTCTGCTTCTCGTTTTTTCTTTTCTTTCGGTAAAAATGATCGTGTCGTGGATCACGAGATCATATATAGTGATTCAACCGGAATGTGTGGTTATGTATATATTCTCGATGCATCTTCTTCGGTTTTCCGTGTTTGAATATGGCTGACATATGTGACCAAGATGGTGGATATGAGCTTCGGAATGATAAAATGTTGAAATCTCGTTGTTGCGCGTAACGACGGCGTTTCTCTACCCTTCCATCTCTCTCTCTTTGTGCCACCTTCCTGCGTTTCATCATCATTCTTCGCCCAAA